CCGATAATCATAGTTGTGAATACCACCAGACCATACCAGTGACTCATTCGCATATACTCTACTCGAGTATTTACCGCAATACTGTTACTACTAGTACTGTACTCGAGTAAAAGTCTGGCTGCCTATACTTAAGTATTGCGTTGATCAATTGGAATTGGAATTGGATCGAACACTACTCGAGCATACATCTTGTGACAATGTGACAATGCACTTGACATTTTCACAGTCACGGTCACTATTTGAGATAATCGATTCGAGATAATTCGTGAGATGAATTGTAATATAAGTGATATAAGTAATACAGAGAGTTAAAGAGTGAAAGTGTTAAAGAGTTAAAGAGTCAAAGAAATAGCTAGAGATGAAAAGAGAATATGATATGTACCGAGAACCAAATTCAACTACTAAAATATTAGATAATGCTGTAGATATGATATACACCTCATTGACGGTTGTACCCCTCCTTCCTTTATTTACTCGCCCTCCTTTCATCATAAAACTTCTAGTACCACAATCTTCATCAAATAGGCCAAAAACATAAACATAAACCATAGTGAGTGGAAAACAATATAATATATTCCTCGCTCGCTGACAATCGCGAGGATTCATCTAATATACAAGTCATGCTATGCTACTAGTATGCTATACGAGTCTCGCTAAACACTTTCGCTATCCATGAATCCACATGCAAAAAAAAAAAAAAAAACCAAAGACAGTATCTAGTCCGAACTTCCAATGCCTAGAGTGGAGCCCATAAAACCCCCCTCATTAGACATGTCCAAACCCAGCGCAGACCAGTAAAAATTCAGAACCTGTACTCCAAACCAAACAAACAAACAAACAAACAAATCGCCGTCATTTATCTTCGTTACAAGTCGTGAGTATGTATCCCTTCATAATTTACAATCCACCGAATTTAGAATTTCATGCTATCGGTAATGCACCAGGTGCATGATCTATAATATCTGTTGATTCCAAAACACCTGGAGTCTTCTCATCCGAAGATTCATGCTCATTATTTCCATCTTCTGCCGTTTCCTTCGCCGTCCCATTCATTGGTGCTTGTGCTTGTGGTTGTGGGTAATTTAGTTTCGTCTGTTCCTCCTCATCCTCGTGTGAAATCGCAGCGGGCTTAACCAAACCTTCCCGACTAACACTTTCCGCCAAACTCGTCTTCGAGTATACGGAAGAAGAAGATGAGTTGCCAGCACCTATCAAGAATCGGAATTTCTTGGCATCTTTCTTGGCTTGTTTCTTTTCCTCCTTGGTATCTCCCGATACCTCATCATCATTCAGATCTTTCTCCACGGGAATCTCCAAATATACCGAGAAACCTCTGCGTCGGAATCCTTTGTTCCATTGTCTCAGCGCCGACTTTAAGGGTGATTCGTATTGGAGATCTCGTTTGATGGTCGCGATAATTTTCCCACGCTTCCATCTCCAGGTAAAGCTCTTGGATAATGGAAGAGTATCTAATATTTCTTTGGTGAATTGCGACCATTCATGCTCGGAAACTCCATATTTGTTTAATTTTTGGTTGTACGGAAATCCAGACGATAGCACACTTTCTTTGGTAGGTACCATCAAAGTTCTAGTTTGTGGTCGTGGAGCTTCTGCGAATGAAACTCTTCGAGAATCAGGTCCTTGAGATCTCGATCGTTCAGTTCCACGATCAAGTGATGTTCGAGGGGTAACATTTGTCGATTGTGTAGTTCGGCGGGGAGTTATATTTTGAGGTGGAATTGAAAAGGGCCCTGGAGATGATGTTGGACGTTGTATTTGGGATGGTCCTCGTCTGTTACAAAATGTTAGATACGAGTATGAGAGAATTGGCGAGGAAGCAGTTGAGAACTTACGATTGAACTGAAGATGATCGTGAAATTGCTGTAGATCTACCTGTTCTACCTGTTCTTGGTTTTGCTTGACTACTCTTTCGACTTGGAGCTTTATTATTCTCCTTTTCGAGCTCCGCGAGCAAACTTAATGCCCCGGACATGTTGTATGGACTTTTTGAAGCTGTATCTAATACTTTGGTATGTGATTTGGGAATTAAGGTTGGTGAAGGTTTCGAGTGAACGAATGTGTCTCGGTATTTAATGTTCGTCAAGAATGATTGCTGACAATGGGGGGCCTGGAGAAAAGAAGTCAAGGTATATGTATAGAGTAGTCGATACGATATGAGAGATTAGGTAGGAAGAGGCAATTGGGACCAAAATATGGAGAATTATATAAATGATAATTATGTTGATACTGGTGATATTCTAGTATTGGGGAGACGAGTACAAATGGTAGGACATGACAACTCTTTAATCAATTCGATTCGATGCTATAAACCTTAATTTTCTTTGGATTATTGATGAATCATTGTGATTGTGGTCTGGCCTTGCATTTATTATCCATATATCATAAGCGCTGATAGGTTGATAGGCCAATGAATTGTGGCGTAGCACATGGTAAAGCATGGATGGGATAACTTTTTGTCAGCCCTGCTTAAAGAAAGCCAAGAGAGTAAGACAGTGTGAAATCAAGAATGCTTGTATATAGTTTGATTTGATAGCTAAATAATAGTTAAATGATTGCTTATCGATGAGAGATGAGGTTTAATGATAATGAAATTCATGATCGACAATGATGCCTACGAGTAGATGAAAGATTAGATTCAGGGGAAGTTGCAACATTCATAGCCGAGGCCTACTTTCCCTCACAATCAACACCAATTCCACACCGTTAAGTGCTTAGGTAGTAAGTAACTTGTACAACACATCAGACCGACTAAGAAAATTCGATTATTTTCATGAAGTAAGTATCTTCTCTTTGTCATACCCATGTGGACTTATCAAAATTTCTCTATGCCCTGAGACTAAATCTGGTAAAAGATTTCCACCAAGGAAAATGACAGTGGCAATGAGTGGATCTTACCGGTACGGGTCCAGAATCAGATGTCCGGGAGTCCAAGCGAGGTTGGTTGGTTCAACTTGCTGTTTCGATGGATGGTACGGGGACTAGGTAGACCTTTTGGTAACTACTCGAGGACCGAGGTAATCTTACATTCCTTCGGGGTTGTTCCTGATCTCCATTTTTTCCGGACATGAATTCATAGCATCGTCATACGAATACGATATATTTATACAAAGCCTAACGTTCGACAGGTAACGAGGCTGAGTTCATTTTAACTTGCGGATGTTTCGAATTCACCGAGGATACTTATGTGTTTTGATACGATACATTTTAATCGTTTCTTCGTATAACCGGTAATGCACATCTAACATCGTCCGAAATCTTCAAGACCGCATATCCAATCATGACGTATAACCTTGGCATTTCACGTGAAAATGCAGGAATGTCACATTGATCGAAGTATGTGCATACAGCATAGTATCGTATCGTATCGTTCGGTTGAAAAATGAATACCCCGCACAGGAAGGAGATACTGTATGTAGGCGCGGGGTAGTAATGGGATGTTGGGCCGGCGCCATATACTCGGTGAGTACAAAAGGATAGGTTTATTGCGCTCAACATAGCCTCCAATGGAATGTTATCAATGGGAAAAGCTTAATGTCGTATGTCGCGATTCGTTGGATTATGAGTCATGCGGTCGTGACTTTTGTGTGCTGGTGGGTGCATTTGCTCGATACAACGCTATTGACTAACAGGATTTAGGAGGCCAGGCTGTAAATATGGATGAAGGAGGGGACAAGTCTGACTCTAGCCTTACGACAGCCAAGATGCCTGCGTTGTGTCGCTGGACCAACTTGGACTTTGGACGAAGATTCTTGACAAACTGTGTTCATACGCTTGCTTGCTTTGAACGTTTTTCGGTTTGTATACGAAACATCGAGCCAGTATTCAGTATTCGCACGATTCGAAGTATCAAAATTATATGAATTAGCCCGAGAAGAATAGGCTACCAATGTTGGATTATATATATATACATAGGTCTGGTCGAGCTTGAGCCAATCGCTAGCATGGGAGAAATAAGTCCATTTTGATAAATTATCTCTGTACTCGTATAAATCAGGTGTTTCCTTACTGTATTGCAGATAAGTATCTGTAGTCCTTTTATGGATAATGAACTTCCTTGTACTCGAGTACTTCTCTCTCCGAAATGAGAGATCCTCCTGAACTCAAACTCCAACATATTTTACATTTCCATGCGAAAGTTTCTCTTGCTGCAAGTAGCCTGGTTGGTAAGATTGTACAATTCGTAGTCCCTGAATACTTTTGCACCACTCAAGTTATCCCGATGCAGCCCGCGAGGCCATACGGGCTCCGATGATCAAAGAGGACCAAATGCCGGGTTACAAACGACTAGGTACGGAGAAAGTCAGAATCCTAGACGTCTCGCAGGTTCAAGCGGTGATAGTTTTCGGGGTCATGGTTCACGGCGTGGTTCTGCGGATCTTGTACGAGGAAACTTTGGGTGTGGAAGAGGCATTGGTTGACAGACTACATCTATTACTGGTTCCATCTCAGTTTCTATTGGAGTTCCTCACTTCGTATGGAGACGATGGCGTAGTATTACTGCTCTCAATTACGGATCATTACACCTTACTATCACTTATTTCATTATCGTTTATAACATTGAATATTGAATTATAGAATATATCAGAAATCAGAAATTGATAAATAATAAAAATAAAAGAAATACTATAAAACAAAAAAAGAATTAATTAACATATTTGATTAATATTAACAAATAAGATTGTTGGAATATCACTAAGATCATAATAGATATAATAGTAGTAATATTGTATATATATAATCTTTAGAGATATTCGAGTGGTATTGGATATATATATATATCTATATTTATATAATTAGTATCTTACTTTAGCCCGTCCCCAGTACTCTTCGGGAGGTCGCGAGTAGGCTCCGCCTACCCCCCGGACGTTAATTTATTAAATAAATAAATTGGATATATATATAAGTGCGTGAGGCACATGCATATAGACGGGTGTCACGTGACCTTGTGTAACCGGGCTAGACTGCACTTCCAACAAAGATAATCCTGTTTATTAATATTAAATTTCATATTTTGTATATATATCCCATTCAGCTACTAGTGAGACAATCTATTTGGGTGAAGTAGTCTCTGTTCTATCTAGTGGACTTTTTTATATATATATAACCAATTATTTTGCTTCTTCTTGTGTGTCTTCCTAACCTATCAAGTTTTGAGTCTGCAAATTCTTTTAATACATCCTCTCAGGCTTCCAGCCATAAATGCCACCAACATGAGGAATGATTTTCTCCGTACTAACATTATCTTGTTACCCATTCTTTGTATTAAACTTTCGATTGCCAGTGAGTGCCGCGGGAGAAAGACAATGAAGCTTGCGAGTTATTTGAGTAGACAAATATCTTCCATTTGCTGGGTACCAATTTCGATGTCTTTGAACTTCCGCCATTTTTGGTAGCTTCATTTGCCACATGTCTCCACGGCTTTTCCTCCCTAGCCTTCACGTTCTGATATTCTAATTACATAATACCAATCATTCTTTTCGAGTAGAATAATAGATGGTTCCTCTAAAACATAACATCGAAGGTTTTATCTGCGTAACCAACTAATAGGCAACCCTATATTCCAGATCATCTGCCGCCATCTCATTTCTACTATTTTCTGAATGAAACTTAGCTAGGTAATGATTCACTCCTCCTTGTACAAATATATTTACAATAAAAATTTCTCGCAGAGGATAATATGAAATCTTGGTAGAATATTTCGAATACCCAATACAATTGGAGAATAATCAGATTTGCATACCCTTCTTAACGATGGCATTCAAAAGATAATCTCACCTCATGGTCCAAGGAGAAAACGGGCTTTTGAAATAGACTGGTAGAACTTTCTGGAAGCTATGTATGGGGAAGTATGTGCTATAAAAGATAATGGGAATTGAATATTGAAACAACAACGAGAGGGGAACTCACCTCTGAGAGTTCTTCTACTGTTATACAATTCTTCAAGCTTCTTTTTGGTATCCTTGATATACTTAACACAGTTGTTTTAAATCTTGTTATGCTTTGCGTCACGATCTTTTTGGTCTGTAAGATGTCTTATTAACCCAGCACACCGAAGAATATAAGGATTCACATGTCTACCTCTACCTCTACCCGACGAGAAACGTGGGGACATTCTTCGTGCAGGTGGTGAGCAAATGAGTAGTCATGAGCCTGCCAACAACTATACGAACAGCTCCCTAGCTACTACCCGAGTGAAAGAAACCAATGCTGACCCAATAGTAATGCCCCCAAGATTAACATTAGATTTGAAGTCAAGAGACCAATCAAATCCGAGTTACATTCTGCACCAGACATGTATACTTCTTGAAGAAGGATATTAACTCAAGCACCCACTAGACTGAAGTGGATCATTCATGATGCTGAAGAGAAATTCGATCCCGACGACATCATTGTGTAAGAGGAACAAATGAAATAGCGACGTGTGAGAAATGCTGAGAAGTGAGCTGGTTGAAGATCTGTACTATACTTGGAATCTGAGGGCGTACATTATATATAATATGATGATTTTAGAGGAAAATAGGGATTCAGCGAGACAAACCGATTTATGATTTCGTGACTTTGGGTAGATAGATGGGATACCAAAATGGGGGAAAAAGCCGATAATATAAAATCTTACTTGAGAGAATAAATTCATTATCTTACTATATATATATAATCTCACCCCCTTGGTAATCTGGTGACTATACTTCCTATAACTAAACTAAGACCTAAAAAGGCTCACCGGGGGTAGATAATAGGACTTACTTAGCCCCTATTTTATAGCCCCTAAAAAATCTCACCGGGAGTAGTTTATAGGGTTCATGCCTCTATAACTAAGGCCCTGAATAAGCCTCATCGAAAGCATGTGGAAAACTATATCTATACTGTTCGGCGGCTCATCTGGACCTCAACCACCATTTGCGAATTGATACAGATGACTGACTACCTTGTCCCCGAAGTTTCATCGGGCATGCAAACCTACACTTGTAGACAGTAATCGCGGGGCCGGAATTCTCCCCAATTTTCAGCATTCTGAATCCAGAGCGCTACCCCTTTACTCGAGTATACAATTAGGTATTCTTCTTTGCAAACAAAGAGGTAGTTTGATGGTTATACTCAGTATATCATCTGCAATGTCGTGTGTGAAGTTTCGATTGAGATAGACGGTTGATATACAGAGTTGCGATGTGTGACAGTTCGAAATAGATCAATCGCGTTGGGAATAGGGACTGAACTGAGGGGGTGGATGAAGATATTTTTCGCTGTATTTAATATAGGGATAAACGAAGATATATCTCGTTGTACTCGTATCGAATGTGTGGATATACGAAAGTAATGTCCAGCACAAGAGATAGTTCTCTAGATGAGTATAATCACTGGATTTCGCATATTTCGAGAGATTATCAAGGTTGTTTATCCGAACATTGGTTTTTTTTTCAATTTGATGCGAGGAGGAGGTCTTGAGCATCCACCGACACAGCACTCAAATACAGTACATCAAAACATCAATCTCACAACTCTTCTCTCACAAACTTTACCCCTCCTCCCTCCTTCCCTCCATCTCTGGCATACATTGCGGAGAATTGCGCATACTTAACCTCAATGTCGTGCTCTTAGTGTTGTTGATCCTTAAGGGCATCGCATCTCTCGCATTGTCCAAAAAGATGGGTTTTCCCCAGTTTTGAGTCGTTGATTGGTGTATCCGCCACATCAGATCCGTGCATTGGCCTTCTTCTGTATATATTCGTTATACTACGTGTGCCGAAAAGCATGTCATGAATGGTTAAATGTCGAAATTGATTGAGTATGAATAATAAGTGTTTGCTACTCATATCAATATGCCGGTGCTTGTCTTAAGTGTAGAAGTATACTCGAGTATATATATATAACGAGCTCAGTGCTTCTGTCATGAGAATTCGGGATTTGAAGTTCAGATCAAGAAGCTAATCCCGAAGAAAGACAAACACTGTTTATTATCCCTTTTGTTTTTGTTAAATTCATTCATCTTCGATACTCTCAATCGATTGTTTCAAAATGGTCGATATAATTGGAAGTAAAGATCTCGAAAGTGGTCATATCAAAGACACTCAAGCCGAAAGCTTGCGAGGATATTCAATCCATGTGGTACCACAATCATTTGGGAGTACCATTGGTAGTCCGGTGAGTCCTTTCAACATCTATCAAGTTCTTCATCTCATCTCATTCATTTATTCCTTCATCTAGACAGCTCTCGCCATTGGAGCATTTGCGACAACTCTCACGACCCTCTCTTGTGCCCTTATGGGATTTCGTGGTTTATCTAACACGGATGTTTTTGTTGCAAATTTTAATTTTGTGTAAACCTCCTTTCCCTTTCCTTTCTCCCCTCATTCTATTTAATCCATCTAATTTTCTTGAAGCGCAGGAATAGGCATGGTGATATCCGCTCAATGGGAACTCGTTCGAGGTAATTCATACGGATATACGGTTTTAAGTGCATTTGGGCTATTTTATGCTGGATTTGGTGCATTGGACATTCCATTTTTGGGCATAACCGCGGCGTATGGAAATGATACTGTGCAATATAATAATGCTGTTGGATTTTTTGTTCTGAGTATGTTCCCTAGAACCATCAATCGAGAAATTGCGAAACTGACAGAAAAAGTATGGTCTGTCTTCAATATATTCTTCCTGATCGGATCATTCCCAATGTATGTATTATCTCCTAGCATTCTATATTCCATTAACAGAAATCTAATCAATACTACAGAAATGTCGTCTACATTGGCATTTTCTTTTTCGTACAACTAGCCTTCACACTTGTCAGCGCATCATACTTCTGCGCCGCAGACGGTAATGCAGCCACTGCCGCCGCACTCAAAAAAGTCGCGGGAGCATTTGCTTTTATAGCGGGAATGTTTGGATATTATACAGTGGGACATTTGATGTGTCAGGAAGCACTATTTTTCGATTTTCCCATGGGCGATACGAGTCGATTTTTCAAGAGGAAGTTAAATGATCAGAGGCCGGTTCCTCAGCATCATGAGAAAGAATGTAGAGCTTGAAACTTTCCAAGAAGCAATGAGAATGAATGTCTTACCTTACATCAATGTGAAAGGACTTTGAAAACTGTTTTCGACGCGGATTCCCCAACCAATACGCCTCTCAGGATTGTTCATCGTCACCTTTAATCTTTTTATTGCAGCAGTATATTACACAAATTGCAGAAGTACATCAAATAGATATCGAAGTTGATTTATAGCCGAGGGGTGGTTTTTAGATATACGACTCGTAAGCTGACACAACACGGTACCTGACTGAGCCCTGAAATTGTGGGTACAGGGTCCAACCTACGGGATCATTACAAGGGTTACCGTACATGATCACCCAACATCACACCCCATCCATCCATCTTGTGTCAACCCCTTCACAAACACGAAAAAGATACATCTCGAGTTCAATACCACCACAACCACAGTATAAAATATCAACTTCGATCTTTCACAAAAACAATCACCATCCATATAGAGTAATATACCCACTCCATTCATCCCTCACAATACAATGTCCCTATCAATCGACCCACGCATCTCCAATATCCACCCCTTCTACCGTATATTCCTCCTCTACATCGAACCCATTCTCGCCCTATCCGGCGCCTACCTCGCACTATTTCACCCCGCCAAATTCCTCCTCGGCACCGCTCCATCCTCCCTATCTACCCCCTTCATTCCCCTCACCCTCACCACTCCCATTTCCACATCCACACCACAACCACAACCCATAGACCCCGTGATACAATTTCTCTCCGCCAATATAGGCGCTCTCTATATCCTATTCGCAATCAACGAAGCTATTGTACTACGACTCACGCGCGACTACTCGGTATGGAAAGTTGTGGTGTTCGCTATGCTCGTGTGTGATGTAGGACATATTTGGGGGGTTTATCAGGCGGATCCGACGGGGAGTTTGGAGGTGATGCGGTGGACGATGGAGGAGTGGATTAATAATGGGATTTTGGCTTTTGGGGCGGTCTTGAGAATTGCTTTCTTGGGGGGAGTTGGATATAGAAAGTGAGGGGGATTTGGATGAGGAAATTGATTTTTTTGCTGTTTGGGATTTTTGATGATATGATATAATCTAACCGAGTTTTCAGGGGATTTAGTTTCTTGCTACTGCAATTGATATATGCATCATATATTAATCATTACCATAACATAACAGAAAACCCATATCATGCCAATTTCCTAAACATTAACATATGAAAAACTCATATCCATTTCCAAACCAGCCGTAATCCCCGCTCCCGCTCTCGCTGCCTCTTCCTCTTTCTATTTCTTTTCCTTTTCCATTTCCACTTCCACTTCGTCTTATTTCAACTCAACCCACTCAATACCATATGTCTATTGTTTTTCTAGCAAGCAAGCAAAATACGACCAAAAACCCGATCAACAGCCTCACCTCAAGAAGAACTCTTCCGGCCCCGGAACCACAAATACAACTCCTCTGACCACTAATTATATGATTTCTTTAATAGAGTCAAATTAGAGTAATCCCCCTGATTGATTCTTGGTGTGCTACACTAATATTAGTGAAAATATCATATAATCTTATCAAGTTATATTATCTAAAACTATAATTTTGCTATAGAAATAATTATAATTATAATTTAACAACCAACTAACTACTAACTAAACCGTGCTAGTAAAAAAAAACATATCCACCTATAACTATCTATAACAAGTCTGAATATATATTTATCTAATCCAGAATCCAGCATTCAGAATCCAGAACCCAGATTAGTATCTTGAAAATCTTAGACTAGCTAGACTAGCTATGTATACTAGTTCCAAGGGCATTTGTTAGATGAATGCTACTAGTATATAATACTCTAGTATATATATACATATATACACGAAGCTGTATTAATGGACCCTCTTCCTTCTTCTTCCTCCCCCTCCTTTTTCCTAAATTCCTAAATTCCTCGGTAATACTACCTACTCGTATACTATACTACCTATATTATACTATATATACACGCATGAATCCTAACCATAGTATATTCAGTATACCCACTACTTATTTACTTATCTTACCTTCCTCACTTACCTCACTTCGCTTCTTGCAACAGCAACAGTACTCTTTTCTTTACAGTCATAAAAAGCATACTATTTCTCATTTTCTCATTTCAGACATACATATATACCTACCTATATAATACATACCCGTATATATATATATATTCTCATCAATTCAAATCCCACAAAATGCAAACATATCCTCCTCCACCATCCCCTTACACCATATCCATCCAATCCCTTACACCACACCATTCCATCATCCCATCCCATCCCAATCCCATTACACCATCCCATATCCCATATCCATCCCATCCCACCATCCACTATAAATCCACCCACCAATTTCCCCCCACACACACCTGTAAACCTACCTTTCACCTTTCACCACAGACTAATTGAAGAAGCTCTTGCAGTACAGCATCAACTAAAACTAAAACTAAACTTACAAACGCAAAACAACACATATATTCAACTCACATCCCGAAATGAAACAAAACATCTACCGGTATACTCTACTCTACCAAATTTGCATATCACATCCATCACATCCATCACTAACATTACTAACATCACCAACATCAAATCAAGTCATTGAACCTTAACTCAATCGCAGTCTCAATCTCAAGGGTATATCTCTATTCGATTCGATTCCTTCCATTCCATTCCAATCCCTTTCGCTGCGCTTGCAGAATTGCTTTGCTAATTACACACACACACACACACACATGAAGCACAACTCCTCTGTGAATTCATGTTCCTGTCAATGTTCATCCACCCATCAACCCCATCCACCCCATCCACCAATCCCATATCAATATTACCACCCATAAAATATCATCATTGCTTACCAACTCTGATTATCATCATCATCATCAATCATCATAATCCCTTTCGTGACTTCCGTGACTTCTGCATTAATTGTCATCTATTTTTTCCACTTCCGTTTTAGCTTCCTCCCAAGTCTCCTTATTCTTCTTGGCCCATTCGATTTGAGATCTCGCGTAGGCGAGCTGTAAAGTGGTTAGTTAGTATTGTGAATCTTGATCATGTCATGGGGTCACCGGGACATCAAGTAACTACTCACCATATATCTCTTCAAATCATCCTCTTTTTCCAACTGGAATCTCTTCAAATCTTTGAGCACACCTGCACTTGCATCTTTGACATCTTGCGCAGATGCGAGTTGAGCCTGCTCCAATTGTGAGATTGCTTCCCTAGTCTTACTAATTTGATCCCTTCGTGTTCTCTCCGGGTCAGCATCAACAACACCATGAACTGCATGACTTATACGCCCGAAAATCTTATTGGTGATGAAGTTTCCACTAGAGCTCTTTCGATGAGTAGGAGGTATTTCTTCTTGCTGAGGAATACCTTGTGATGCAGATGGGGTATCGCCATGAGTCGGAGGAAAATCGGAATCAATCGATGCTGTATCATCGTGTGGTGATTCACGTCTTCCTTGTGGGGGCTCTCTTGCGGATGAAGTTGAGCGCCGTGGTACATTGGCAGTCCCACTACTAGTCAAATATTGATCAATTCTCTTCGCTTCAGTTTCACTTCTTTCCAACTGTTCCAGGAGAGCTCTTTTTTTGGCCAAGTCCTCGTTGGTCATTTCTTGCTGCACCCTCTTCATAACGCGATATCTCAAAACACTCCGAACTACACCAGCAAATTGTGCACTCTCCCGCATTGGTTCGGCAAAACTCGCACCTAAAGAAGCCGAGAGTTCTTCAGTCGCAATGTATGATGAATCGACAGCTTGACCAACCCTCTCAATAGCTGCTGCAAGAGAAGCTGAAGGTTCCGAGAGCGAAAAACCATTAAATCTTGCTCCAAGCTCTGCTAAATCCGTCGACAACGAAGATAAATGGGTCAAGGTCCTCCGATTAACTCGTTCAATAGGCCCGGTCAACAATATTTCTAGATCCTTGGTGGAAGATTCGAAGCTTATGAAGTATGGATCCAAATCTTGTTCACTCAAATTCGCACTTTCCGGTGGGATTCTACCAAAGAGTTGTGGTCCGGATATAGTATGCGCCGCAGTCGAAGGACTAGCAGCATACTCAGAAGGTTGTGCTATCATACCTTGAGCATTAGTCGCGGATGTAGAAGCTGCCTTGAGTTTCGCAGAGGATGCAGGTACAGGTAGGAATGCGTGAGCAGGTGTGGGATTGGCGGGGTCGAGTGGGGGGGCTTTCATATTGGATTTTGGAATTGATGCAATAGGATGGGAATGTAAAACTTCGTTCTTAGAGGAATTAGAGATGGAACAGCAGAAGAGCATGTGCCAGTATTGACTTACCCAACTTGCGTTTGGATCCAAAAATCTCCACCAAACCCCATCATTCCGTACCTCATCCATTCTCCTACATCTATTTAAGAATACAGCCAACATGCGCTTTCGAAGATCTATAATTTGTTGGTCCTGTTTTGCTTTGGTTGGATTCGCAGCATAGTCTGCCATGGTATGTTTCTCGGGGATGGGTGGAATGATTAAAGTAGGATGTAACCTGGAGAGAGCTTCTCTTAGAGAGGCAAACTCGGAATAGCGCCGACGAACTTCAAGATCCTACCATTTATGTTAGCTTTTATAATTTACCTAGCAATTTCCCATACCCCAGTTCGGATTGTATAAACAATATATTTCCCTCCACTCTCAGAACTCTTTCCAGCATCAACAATTAAGAGAGGAAGTTCTGGATTCTCATAAAGAATTTGTTCAATGCGACTATCATATCCTCCCTTCTTCTGTCGTCTTGTAGCTTGAGATGCTTCGCCATAATCCTCATCACTTCCAGCCTCACTCGCCTCGTAACTTAAGTTGCGCTGCTCTGGTACATTATCGTGGTTTTCGCTGACGGTAGAAGGGGTGCGTGGTCCACCAAAATCATGTTCTATTATGTCCCAGCCCTCAAAGTCAGCATCAAAATCAGGATTTGAAGCAGCACCCAGGAAAACCGAAAACATCTTGAATCAAGTCAAGGTGATCAAAGTTGTAAAGTTTTAAAGGACTTACGAGATCCAGGTGAATTTGGAACAGCATTTGAAGAGATTATTGAGTCTTGACCCTCAAAGCTGGTCCCATATGGATTATTATCTTCATCATTCCACATGCTGCACAAGTGCTTGCTCCTGGGGGAGCTTTGTGTGTATGATTGATGATTATGCAATTGATTGTGATGTGAATAACAACTTGAATAAAGTCAAATGGAAGATTGTTGATGTTATGGTAGTCATTCATAGATCATGGTAGTTAGAACAAACAAGTTGAAGAACTTCCAATGGCCAGTCCCGTACCCATAAACCTTACATTATACATTGTTGATCACCAGCCATCGTCATTGGTGGTGCACAGACCATATATGAGGCTTAACAAGAGAGAAGTAATAATCCTCATCGAAGCTTTTATATAACTATACTCTATTGAATTCATGATTAAAGATCCTAGAGGGGGTAATCTGGAGTTAGCTCTCCCTCAGCGGAAAAGAAGACTGAGAGTGACATTTCAGTGTTTCTATTTGTTTGAGAAAATCACATTAAATTCATAGGTTTGTAACCAGAGATTTAAAGAGAAGAAATCTAGACTATTCTTCAATTAATAAAATCTTATATAAATACTATCTTATCTCAACTAACTAAGATTCAGTTCAACTATATTTGAACAAAACCAGCCTATATATAACCTAGTTTTATTAGCTAATATACAAATATAAAACCAAAATAAATTCTATTTTTTAGATTCTTTCAATTATATAATTAATTCAGCTTTTGATTTGATTAATAGCTAGATCAAATATAGCTAGATCTAATCTTAATTAGTTGAAATAAGATAGTATATATATATTATAAATATTAAATCTTTAATTCTATTTAAAAAAATAATAATAATGAAATTAGTCGAGGATTTTGATTACTCGAGTATATAATATGTGAGGGATCACAAGCAGGGAATAGGCCGGATAGTATCAGTACTACAGTTAGGGTATAGTTTGTACAGAACTGAACTCATACCACTGCCATGGTGGTATGAGGGTAGTTCTTTATAGATTTCAGTACGAACTAACTAATAAAGAACAAAGGATATGAAAGGATACTCTGTATCCTTTCACATCCACGCTTTTCCGGCTAGTCCCCAGAAGGGGATTAGTCTCTACGCGGTGACATAATATTTCTAATAAGACTACTTATTTAATCTTTATTTAATATTAATTAATATCACTTTTAATACTTCTTTAAGCTACTTACTTATCTAATCTTATTGTTGGTTCACCACGGTGGAGTTGTTCGGATCAATAATGGCTATTCCTATAGTACTCTTATTGATGACGACTCTCTATGAAAGCTATGGGAGAGAGAGCCCTTATAAGCATACTAGCGTATGCGCTAAACTGGTATAATCTATATTCCGACACTTATATAATCTATATACTAGTAGTCTATTATATTATCGATTAATATATAATTATTTTACTACGAATATCATTTAATCGATTGAGCGAATATAGTAAAACTATAATATTTGCTAATTTATATAAGAGAACAATAAATGAGTATTAGAGTTATCTATAAACCTCAGGATATTTATTTATTCTAGACTATTCAGCTCTCTCGAAACTACTACTCAGTATATACTCGAGTATATCTGTTTAAGAATATCTTTTTATTATCAGATATTAGATAATTAGACAGTCGATAGATTAGATCATATCAGATATTAACAACTATCTATACTAGTAGAGTAGTATTCAAGAATATATTAATATCAAAATAGATATTAAACTTAAACTTAAACTATAAAGATAACAAGATCATAAACTTCAAAAAAAAAAAGAATTCCGCCAAGAGTAGTAGAAAGACATTTACTTATAAAACCCTAGGTTCAAGTTTCTTAAAGAAACCCACTAATAATCTATCTACTATATATTCAATTATCAGAAACAAATTCCGATATTAAGTCTTACATTCAGAAAGAACGTCTATCTTTCCCCTTCCTTCATTATCCCCGTTCATCAGACCTCAAAGTTAGATAATACTCTATTCGAATGTATCTATCATACTTTCCTTAACTCTATAACTTTATCCCTAACTTCGCTTTTGTTTACTCGAGTACCAGTATATTGTTAAAGTAGTAGAACTATCTTATTAATAAGAAAAACCTCTTCAAAAAGGGCTTCCAAAGTTTCATCCACACTCAAACTCACACTCACATTTAATCAATCACAACACAACACAACACAGAAACAGCAATCTTTTTTTTTCTTTTTTTCAATACTCGAGTATCAACATCATGATTTGGAAACCTAGGTATCATTCTCATTTTCCATGCTTGTCCCACTCCACTACACTACCTAATCAGCCTCCCTATCACCGGGTTACTGATTCGTTCATATCCTAATTTCGCATCTCATACTATCCTATCCTATCCTATCCTATCATATCCATCCCTACCTATCCCTACCCCGTGCTCTCTCTAATTACTTCCTCTCTGCTTGGTGCTGGATATCAATGCCTTCTCTTCGAGAAACCCCCCCAGTATTTCCCTTCGTCAAATGCTTCCCCCCACTCCCCCCCCCCCCCTCCACAAAATAAAAAGATACACTGAAAAGCCAAAGCCACAAAGAACAAACGCAAAAAGAAAAGGAAACAAAACGAAGCGAATGAGGGTAATGAAGAGAAATAAGTAGAATAAAAAACTGAAAAACTCGGTATTACAACAGAATATTTCCTTTCCATGCCAGTCAATGCACGCAAATTTAAATCAACTAAACCACTTTTTCCTCCTCCATATCTTAATCAAAAATCAATCAAAGAATCCTCATTCCTAAATTAATTACCTGCCACATCTTCTTCTGCCCAACCATTAAGACCATGTCCTTGTCCGTCAATGCCAAGTCCATATCCGCTGTTGAAACCTCCATTGCCGAGACCACCTGAGAAGGAACTTTGGTATTGATGTCCTCGACCTCTTGAACCTCCTTGTTGCTCTCCATTTCCGTTACCCTCTGGCTGCGCGAATACAGGAAGAGACACAGCCCTATTGTGACTTCCTCTAGCTGGAGCCAACAATCCATTCATGGTGGGTGCTACAGATGATTGGAAACCATTTACATTGCTGATGCTTGCACTTGAACCATGTCCGTTTGGTTGTGATTGTTGGATATTTAAATCATCCATATTTCCACCACCATACAGAGCGGCTTGTTGAGCTGCGAGGACTTGTTGCTGTTGTTGTTGAAGAGCTGCAACGGAGTAGGGGTCGAGGTTTTGTTGTTGCTGCTGTTGCTGTTGTTGAGAAATTTGATTGAGATACATAGTCAAAGGGTTGTTACTACCAGCGTTGAGGATGGTTGATGGGGTAGCCCCTTGTTGTTGTTGTTGCTGTTGCTGTTGCTGTTGATGATGTTGCTGTTGTTGCTGGAAATTTCCATTTGAACCATTGACAGAACCTGGAGCAACAGAACCTGTTGGAGAAGAACCATTTTGACTTGGTTGAAGACCACCTGAATGAGGAGGTGAGTTAACACCATCACCACGTGGAGATTGGGATTGTTGAACTTGTCGCGGGGGGTTTCCACATCGATCCTTTCCAAAGTTAACCTTGAATCGACGGTACTCTTCCTTGCCTCGAATTGCTTCAATTGCCTTGATAGCATTTGCGATATTCGTGAAGTTGACAAATGCGCAACTCTTCTCTCGGAGAGTATTGACCAATTCGATTTCACCATATTCAGAGAAATCCTGTCTCAGTCTCTCTTCAGTCCATGATTCATCCAGGTTACCAATGTAAACATTTCTTGATGCTCCACCGCTAACAGCAAGAGCAATGGCTGCTGGAAGTGCACCAGAATGTTTTCCCCATCCAATCTTCAACCTTCTGTTGTGGATCATCAATCCTTGCAAATTGCTCAAAGCATAGAAAGAAGCCGCCGAAGTAGGATCAATGAATGTAACGAAGCAGATATGCTTGTCGGGTATATATCGAATGTGATGTAAAAGACCACCTCTAACAACATTGCAAATCTCTTCGATTGTAGTTTCCGGATGAATGTTGCCCAAATAGACGGTTCTGTTCCCAAGGTTATTGATTCCACCGGCGGTCGTAGCTACAGCTGCGGCAGCTACAGATTGTTGAGCCAAAGCATTTGAAATCAAGTCACGATCAGCCCCGTTAAGAACGTGGGCATATCCTGGTGCAATACCAAGATACTGAGCAGCGTTCTGTTGTTGGGTCTTGGAAACATATGCGCAACGATCCTTTCCGTAGTAAACCCGACGTGGTGATTGCCATTTTGCCTCCTGGGGTAATTGAGAAACCGCCTTGATAGCATTTCCGATTGACAAGAAATGAACGAAGCCAATCGCTTTTTCTCGAACAATCTTCACCGTGTCGATGGGACCGAATTTTCCAAGATCCTCTCGCAATTCATCCTCTGTGACTTCCTCACCGAGGTTTCCCAAATAAACATTTCTCGAAGCACCTGATTGTTGAACGGCAAGAGCAACAGACGTAGGTACTTGAGAAGGCTTTCCCCAACCAACCTTGATATCTTGCCCTCTAATAGAAAGCTTTTTCAAAATCGCATCGGAATGGAAATGAGTGGCGGAACTTCCATCCAAGAATGAAATGAAAGCACAGTTCTTATCTGGCAAAAGTCTGACAGACTCGATTTGCCCGCTGCGAACATGGCCAAGGATTTCTTCCGCAGATGTCTCAGGGGGAATATTTCCAAGGTAAACTGTGCGGCTAGTTCCTGATACCAAGCCTGGTGACATTTGTACTGGAGAAGAAGGTGCCATGCTCATGTTGTGCATTCCATTATGCATTTGAGCAAATCCACCAGTTGGAGATTGTGGGTTGTAGAATTGAGGTGCGCCATAAGTCGAGGGGGATACCAAACTCTGGTAGAGTTGAGGGGACATGGGTCCAGTTGGGCTATGAGGTTGTTGCTGATTCTGCTGCTGCTGTTGGAAAGTCGCATAGTTTTGGAATTGTGGACTTTGGAAGGCGGAAGGACTTCCTGGTTGGAAGGGGCTACCGAGAAGAAGTTGAGAAGGTAGCAAAGGTGTGAATTGCATATCGAAAGCCGTGCCAGGTGTTGTCATATCGTTCTGACCATGTTGACCCATGCTTTGTGTATTTATTGAAGGAATGTTGGCTCTTCGAGGATGTCTATCACCATAACCACCCATCGAATATTGATTTGAACTGTATGCGCCATGGGAGAAGCCTGTATCGCTGTTGGAGGGCTTAGATGCGTGACCATAGGGTCTATTCATTGACGCCGCTCCAGATCCACCATTTTGAGTCTGTGACTCCTGCATCCCGAGAAGATGAGGTGGCAGGACAAAGCTGTCCCGCACGAGAGATGATATTACCGCCGTTTTGAAGGATTAAAGTGTGCCTGCAAAGGCACGTTGAAGAACGTTTGGTATTGAAGATTAATCTATTCAATTGACCAAAGGGTAACCAACTGAAAATCAATCTGCCAGAAGTCAAGGGAAGAGTGAATGTGCCGAAAAGATTATATTCGAGAGATTCGTCTGAAGTGAAGTTTGGATATGTATTATCGAGGCTAGGTATGTAGATATTCGAGGTTGGCTGGTTGGCTGGAATTGAGAATGTATGCCGCTGTAAACAAATTCTTGTATAGATAGAAATATGAATATTAAAAAAGGCTCGGTCTGTATACAAGTATTCGAATCGAAAGGAGGAAGTTGTCGATGTGAATCGTCGCAAGATATCTATATGGCAGATGTTCGAAATGTGATGTCTGAAGGTGAGTGAATGCTCGGAGAACTTTAATTTGATCGCAGTGTTCCTTCAATCGAAGTAGTAATCGTCGTCAATGCGAAGGCAAATTGGAAAATGTAGAATAAAATCTGCAGGGAGATCTGCTCGATTGCAATGAATGAATTTGATGCAAGATTGAGTGGGTTGGTTGAGATATATTGGAACAATAGTAACAACAAAGAAGTTCTGTCAAAAAAAAGGAGGTTGACTTTTCGTCAAGCTTTGAATAGTTCGGACGAATCGATAAGGACTGTTTGAATTTCTTTTCTTTTCTTTCTCATACACACTTATCCTTCCTCTGAGTTCTCTTCAATCACTTCTTCTTGTCAGTGTGTTCCAGGCTAAGAATTGAGATTTGTGAAAGGGAAAAAAAGGGGGATGCAAGAAGTAGTCCGCTTTTTTTAATCCCTCTTGAAATAGAAAAAGGTATTTCCAACGAATTAGCCAAAGATGGGAATAATTGAATAAAATCAACGAAAAGGAGTAGAATAGAACAACTTTTGAAAGAATTGTGAATTGTTCAGAGCATAATAAAAAGCAAAGTAATGAAGGAAGAGAGAGAGAGAGTGTGTGTGTTGTGTATATGTGTAAAGAGAGAGGAAAGCAAAGCAAAGCAGCAGAAGGAATAGATAGGATGATGAAATTGAATAATATTAAGTTAGGGGACAAGGAGATATAATTTGGTAGTGAAAATAATGACTTGGATAATTTACCCATACAGGGGGCCCATCTACAATAAATTGATCAAAAGTACACTATTAATTTGAACCAATGAAATGCTTCAACCCATGAAAAAAGGAAGAAAAGGGAGAAATTCCTCATTTCATTCAATCCCAATGAAGATTAGTGGCTGACTTAATATGGTATAGTAGATCAGCAGGGGTTTTCGGGGGTCCTTCCTTAACTAGATAGATTGAATCCCGCTAGTACCTACCTTACTTAGGTAGTTGGTCTCTCTCCTTTTAAGTTTTAAGGTCTGTTGGTAAACTAACCCCCTAGTAGCCTCCAAGATTCCAAGATGGGTGTCTAATGAAGCATTTTTATTTTAATATGTGATTGCATGAGATGGAAGTACATTTGTACTTGAAGAAGAGCGTCAAGATATCAAATCATTCTTCATTTCAGTCATCACAGCCTACTATACCAACAAACAACTCAAATACAGATTTCTCCATAGCCGCAACACAAATAGACATATATATCAACGATACTAAACTAGATACATATCACATAACAAACAAAGAACTCTACAGTACCTCTTTCATTCACCTCAGCTCATCATTTTTACCACTGTACAGTACCAATAATATGTTCTAGACTCTAGTACAGTGAGTGAGTGGACATTGACCTGATTTACATCCATTACATCCATTACATATAACTTTTCACATTGAAGTATGGAGAAGAACAGCGGAGAAGAACAGCGCATCTAAAGTACAATATGCATATATGGATCTCCCATGGAGTTCCCATTGAACTCGTGGTTAATCTTCATTCATCAATTCGCAGATCATCAACACCGCTCCTGGTTGCTCGAACTTCAATGGCTCAAAGCATCAAACTTTTGAATTCTATCCACCGACTTTTTCTAATTCTCAACCAAGATCATGCGAGCACAAAAATTTATATTCTCCGAAAATATTCTACAGTACCGGTAATGTCCCCATTCATTTATCATTTTGACATCGGTATCAGGTTACTTATGTAAGTTCCACGCACGATACCATCATTCATTCCATCATTTCATCCATCTACCGCTCGCTACTAGAGTACTACTAATCTCATCTCATCTCATCTATCTCATTTCATCTCAACAAAACCCAACCAAAGAAATCCATTCCTTTCCTATCCCATCCCATTCCATCCCTCGGCCCCAAAACCTCAAACCTCAAAACTCAAACCTCAAACCCCAAAGAACAGATATCAGCAAAAACCTCGGCCCCACCCCACAGGATTTAGCATCTACCGTTCCCCATATAGTGTACACGAACGATGCAGTTAGGCGCCGGAATATTTTATTCCAGGCATACTCTGTACATATTGCAGACGGGTGGATGGATGGATGGCTAGGTACTAGGTATTCACATTGGACCCCAAGATGCACAAGATGCAACCCTGAATTGATCGATCCTAGGTGCCAGGTGCCAGGTGCTAGGTGCTAGGTGCTAGGTGGTGCATTACATTATGTCACATTGGTATGTCACTTATCTGAGATGTACCTCTGTACTTTTATGTGTGTGCATTTACTAGGGGTCGTCGTCGTTTATAATGAGTGGTAGGTTATTCAACATCATTTCTCGGAGCCTCCTTTTACATCTTTATCTTTATCTAACCATCAAGTCTAGGTACTCGAGTATTTTATCATTTCATTCTTGATCTTAGAAAGGCTGGCTACCTTACCTATCTGTCTACTATATCTATACTTCCACTGCACACCCTCACACCCTCACTTGTAATAATAACCTACTCGAGCACATAAAATAACTAGCCTTCTCTTCTAAGTTCTCACCCATTATCACCCATTAACCTCCTTCACACACCAAAACCTCCACCACTAAATATACTTTAAACCCCCTATTCCATCCATAACTTTCACCAAACCATCCATCCATCAATCCCTTCCTTCCATCCACCCACTGGCATCCTTCCAGAACAAATCCTTAGACCCAAAACACCAAACATCAAACATCAAACACAACCCATAATCCGATCCCTTGAGGATTTTCCCTTTACTTGTGCTCGAGTATATCAATTCCAGTTCTACTCGAGTAGTTTTTTAGTTGAAGTGAAGTGAAGTTTATTAATTAGATAGTTAGGCTCGACTTGGAGTTGTTACTCGAGTAGTTACTCAAGGACATGCTAGATAAATAATTCATCTGAGCTAATAGGTTCATGCGATGTGTGCTATACTACTCGAGTATATTAATACTCTTATAATTTTTGCGAAAATGATTTCTTGTGGTGATATATTTATAACTGATACTCTGAGAATAATTCAAGAAGAACTCTTGAGATATAAGATGTATTACTAGTATACTTCTAGAGTGTCGTACGTGTCGTATATTATAATCTATATTACTGGGTATATTATACTTTTCCATCTCTCCTCTCCTCCTCCTCTTCCTTCCCTTCTCCTCATTCCCTCATCCCCTTATTCCCCATTCTCTCATCGTACATATATTTCACTCTTTATATTCCACTCTTTATATTCCACTCTTCAACTTTCAACTCCTGAATTTTCAACTCCAAGTACCAACACAATTTCCAACCCTCTGCACAATCATACCGGTATGCCTTCCCCTTTCCCCATTCCCCCTTCTTCTTCTTCACTTCTTCATTTCTTCACTTTTTCATTAGCGAAAAAGCTACTTACTCCCACTCCCACTCCTACTCCTACTATTCCATCCATCAAATTAGAAGTGAGTACCTAGGTATACATTCAAGCCGCCCTTATATATCTCAAAACACCTCTCAAAAGTACACATCACACATCACACATCGCACATTCTACCGAAACGCCAATCTTCAAATTTTCCTTGCGGATGGATGTATCATGTATCACCTCATTACTCGAGTATAGTATCTTATGATTCCCAAAAGTCATTAGATATAAAATTGGATTCTATCATAACATTCATTTATCGCTCAACTAGCCACGCAAATCTTTAACTATCTGCTTGATGTGCTATCAAATCATTCGTTCCAAACCAGGCCAGGCAAGTTCATTCATTCATCTAATCTAATCCACGGATTGATTATCTGTATATCTATCTAAGGCTTGCAACGACCCATGAATCTTGGGTACAAACAACAAGTACGAACTGAATGTTGTTTACAGATCCAGGCGATGAATCTCTCCAGACCTAATCCGTACCCACCGTGAGGGGATGTACCATACCTATTCAATTGTTAGTTAATTTTGTTCGTTCGAGATGTAAAGTGATATTCCCAAAAGTGGTTATGAGAACAAGGATAAGAGAGAAACGGAATAACATACTTTCTCTGTTCGGTGTACCAGTAATACTCCTTAGGACTGATCCCCTCTCTCTCGTATGCAGCCATCAACTCTTCATATCCTTCCATTCTCATACTACCTCCAACAATCTCACCAACACCTGGCATCAAGACATCAACACTCTCCGTGACTCTGGGATCCAGAGGGTCCTTCTTCATGTAGAAAGCCTTAATCTCAACTGGGAAATGTGTGAGAAGGATAGGTAAGTTAATAATATCCGTCATTCTTCTCTCAGCAGCCTCGGCAATGTCATCACCGAAGACATGTGGGTTTCCTTCTTCGTTGAGGATGGGAGGATCTTGGGCGTTGAGCCAGTCAATGGCATCCGAATAACGCATGCGCCTGAAAGGACGGGCTGGGGCTTGGAACTCTGGGTTGAGTTCCTTGATATAACCGGCAATTTCTGGGTCGGCCATAATTGTACTGATAACTGTGCTGATCATCTCCTCCAAATGATCTAGAAGGTCTTCGAAATCAATAAAGTCCAACTCAGCCTCAACGTGTGTGTATTCGGACAAGTGACGACGGGTTAGGGATTTTTCGGCACGGAAGGACTTTTCGATACAGTAAACGTTGCCGAGACTAGGAATACCGGTTTCGAGATAAAGTTGAGATGATTGAGTAAGATATGTCTTCTCTCCATAGTAGTCTAATTCAAACAAAGTTGAACCTCCCTCAACTTGTGTTTGAACGAAAGCAGGTGGACTAATCTTGGTAAAGTACAACTCTTTGTATGCCTTTGCGAACGCCCATTCGACTGCTGAACGAACCTTCATGACTGAAGAGGCGGTATCTCCACGAAGAACAAGGTGACGGTTGTCCAACATAGAAGATTCCCATTGATCTTGTTGATGAGAGATTTTGTTGGTGATAGCATCGGCATCGGATGGAGATCTTCCAATAACTTTGTAGTAATCGACATGTAATTCGCGGTTATCTGGAGCTGATTGACCAGCAGGGACCTTTCGCATTTCTCCGAAGAGAGTTAAGGAAGTACCTTGTGCGAAAGTAAGAGCATCGTATGTCTTGGTAAGTTCGCCTTGTAAAATACACTGCAAATGGCCATATCCATCGACCAATGTAATGAAAGTAGCTTGCTTCTGTTCTCTCAGTCTGTGAATGCGACCTGAAACCTTAACACGGGTGCCCTTCACATCATTCTCGCCCAATTCAATATCTTTGCGTCCAATCTTAATTTTGACTGCCGCTGGTAACGATGAATCTTCGGTAAGAACAATCTTTTTCGAATCTTCGAGTGTCTTCAACCTAGCTTCATCCCTCTCCTTCTCTGCAGCAGCCATCTGTTGTTGTTTCACAAGCTTCTTCTTATGTGCATCCAATGCATTTTGTGATTTCTTGACGGCAGCCTTAGCTGGCTCCTTCCAAACTAATCGCTCTGCTGGATCTCCATCTGCACTAACGGCTCCAGTTGTTGAGGCTCTCGATTGATATTTACCTCCCTCGCTACCACCGTGTTGAATATAGGCGTACGCTAAAGACTTATATGGTTTGCTCTCAGCACCAGTTGCTGTTTGGTCATCTTGACCAACATCGGTATCGATATAGATTGTATTCATTTTTGTTCGTTCTGCGAGTTCTTGAAGTGCGGCCATAATTGTCGCGTGGATTGTTGACAATATCAAAATTGGTTTGGAATTTGGAGGGGAACTTTGTTTTGGTGGGGGGGTGATTTATTCTTAATAGCCGATTGGTGAGTCAGAAAGGGAGGGAGAAAGGGAGGAAGGGAGCGATAAGAGATGCGGCCGCAGTTTGTCATATCTATCAATTTAGTGGACGGGATCTAGCTGAACAAAACAGATAAGAAACAGGTGCTAAATGTAATCTACACGGAGCTACGCGTAGCTTGAATTTTAGTAGACGCGACGGGATGCCTTGAAATTTATTCTATTTGAGGTCAATGATGAATTTAAATAAATGTACTCGAGTGTGCAATAGAACGAAGATCTAAATCTTTTACCACAATAACCAATTCAAACAACCATATCATATATAATTAATTTATGATCATATATATCAAATCTCTGCGAACCACCATTACTATTAATATTGATTGTTCTACGAGTACAAAATCATCAATACTCGAGCGCGATTGGCCCAAATATTTAAATTTCCTGCAGCCACACAATCCAATCCGACATTGTGGCTTCAAGGCGGCTCCTATCTCCTGTAGTAGGTAAACTACATACATCTCTATTGATCCGAACCTTTTGCAAGATGTCTCCAAAGCAGGCGACACTTGGGTATGTTAAAGATTCACAAACTACGTTGGGGTTCGTCGGTGTCTAGTATGTCGAGGGAATTTTGCTGATGGAGTTTCAATGACAGCAAGTTCTTTGGCCAACCAAAGGGCGCAAAGTCTGCGCTTGGGAAGCAATCAAAGCTCTTCTTCTCTTCCAAATCGAGTTCAAGCAAACCACCAGCAAACTCCGCATCCTCTGAAGAAAACCAAGATGTTGACATGAAAGATGAGGAGTCCCTTGCCGACAATAAGGATTCAGTCAAGAAGGAGGAAGGGTCTGATGTGAAAGCAGAAGCAAAGAAGGAGAATGTAAAGCAGGAGAAAGGTATGTTTGGGTTGGTAGCGAAGGCGCATTCAGTCCAAGAAGCTAATAGTCCGCAAACTCAGGTGTGAAGAGATCAAGATCATCTAGTCCGAAACTCTCAGCAAGAACCAAGGCTATAAAAATCGAGGAGGTCAAGGAGGAAGAGGAGGACGACGATGAAGACGAAGAGCCAATTCTGAAGAAGCCTCGAAGAACTGGAAAAGTTGAGGCAAAAGAGAAAAAGCCTTTGCCTAAATCCGCCACAATCAAATCCAATACCAAATCTAAACCAGAACCATCTCCAGCGAAAGTCGCTTCGAAGAATATGCCGCCACCACCAAAATCTGGCAAGAAACTTAAAGTGGTGGAGGATGAGGAAGAAGAACAGGTTGGAGGAACGGCACCCTCACCGAAACCAACAAAACGACGAAACTCTAGCGCGTCCAAATCAGCATCAGAATCGGAAATTGAGGAGGATTTGGAATCTAGTGGAGACGAGAAGCCGGAAGTAGTTGCCAGAGCTAGAGAGAAGATTCAAACAACATTGAAATCTAATGGCAAAGACCCATATCCGGATTGGAAATCAGGGGAACCAGTTCCTTATGCTGCTTTGTGTACAACATTCTCCCTGGTTGAGATGACGAGTAAGAGATTGATTATTGCGGCTCATTGTTCCCTGTTCCTTCGTCAAGTACTTCGTCTCACCCCCGATGATCTTTTACCTACTGTCCTTCTGATGATCAACAAATTGGCTGCAGATTATGCTGGAATTGAGTTGGGTATTGGTGAATCATTAATCATGAAGGCTATTGGAGAATCTACTGGTCGGAGCTTAAGCGTGATCAAAAACGACCAAAAGGAGATTGGTGATCTTGGGCTTGTGGCAGTCAAGAGTAGATCGAATCAGCCTGTAATGTTCAAGCCGAAGCCATTGACAATCAGAGGTGTCTTGAAGAGTCTCATCGAAATTGCTACAATGTCAGGCAACGGTGCCCAGGGCCGAAAAGTCGACGGAATCAAGAAGTTACTTTCCGCAGCAGATACACAATCCACGGGTAAAGTTGACATTACGAAAGATAAGGGTGGAGCGAGTGAGGCAAAGTACATTGTTCGTTTCCTCGAGGGTAAGCTTCGTCTTGGATTGGCAGAAAAGACTGTTCTTGTCTCTCTAGGTCAGGCAATGGTATGTCATGAGGTTGAGGCTAAAGGATCTGGAAAGATTCCAAGTACAGAACAAATGGCCAAGGGAGAGTCAATATTAAAAGCTGTTCACAGGTATGTTGTATTCCCCTATGTATTGAACGGCTACTAACGAAACTCAGTTCCCTTCCCAGTTACGATGTAATCATTCCAGCCATGTTGGAGCACGGCATCTTCAACTTGAAAGATAACTGCATGCTACAACCTGGTGTACCATTGAAGCCTATGTTAGCCAAACCAACAAAAGCAATCACGGAAGTTCTTGATCGATTTGAGAATCAAACATTCACTTGTGAATACAAGTATGATGGAGAAAGAGCGCAGATACATTACGTCGCTAAGGATTCTCCCAAACAATATCTTGGTGCCACACCTGCTTCTGCAAAATCTTCTGTTGGTGGTCTCGCTGCCATATTTTCGCGCAACTCGGAAGATTTGTCCAAGAAATATCCCGATATCCTTGACAAGTTGAACACTTGGGTTAAGGAAGATACTAAGAGTTTTGTCCTCGATTGTGAAACTGTTGGTTGGGATATGGTTGAAAAGAAAGTCTTACCATTTCAACAACTCATGACACGAAAGAAGAAGGATGTCAAGGTCGAAGACGTCAAAGTCAAAGTCTGTGTGTTTGCTTTCGATATACTTTTTTTGAATGGTGAAGCAGTTGTTGAGAAATCTTTACGAGAACGCCGCGCACTTCTTCATGGTGCTTTCCAGCCTGTTGAAGGCGAATTTCAATTTGCTACCAGTATGAATGGTCAAGAGATTGATGAAATTCAAACATTCTTAGACGAAAGTGTCAAGGCATCGTGTGAAGGACTTATGGTAAAGATGTTGGATGGTACGGAAAGTGGTTATGAGCCAAGTAAGCGAAGTAGAAATTGGCTTAAGGTATGTTTTCTCTCATCTCAAGTTGATTTTTCTTTCCTTTGTACTAATATTCGCCCTAGATCAAAAAGGATTATCTCTCTGGTATTGGCGACTCCCTCGATCTTGTTGTTCTAGGTGCCTATTATGGTCGCGGCAAACGCACCTCAGTTTACGGTGCCTTCCTTCTCGCCTGTCATAATCTCAAAACCGACACCTACGAAACCATCTGTAACATCGGAACTGGATTCAGCGAACAAGTTCTCGAAGAGTTGCATGCCCAACTTTCCGCTATCGTCATCGACCGCGCTAAGCCCTTTTACTCCCATTCATCAGGAAACCAACATCAACCAGATGTATGGTTTGAACCAAAGTATGTGTGGGAAGTGAAGACGGCTGATCTAACACTAAGTCCAAGATACAAGGCGGGATGCAAGGAGGGTGTTGATAAAGGTGGAGAGAAGGGTATTTCGTTAAGATTCCCAAGATTCATCAGAATTCGCGATGACAAGAAGCCGGAAATGGCAACGACTAGTAGGCAGGTGGCGGAGATGTATGGGAAGCAGGAGAGTGTTACAAAGAGTAAAGGACCGAGTGTCGATGATGATTTCGAGTATTAGATCGAATGACCGAGATGATCAGTGGGAATCGAATGGAATGTTGGTCGTCGGTATGGTGCTTACTTACAATAATGGCGGATAGGTGCTACTAAAATTGGCGGCATTCAATCGGAAGGGCTCGGGGGTCAGGGGCTCAGGTAGGGACGGGTAGATGTTTTTATATTGCTTGTATGAGATGAGATGAGATGAAATGGTGTAATATAGCTATAGTTACAGGTGCTTGTAATCATACAATGCCAGCTAGCTAAGTAGCAATTCCACATGCTTTAAAATTTCAATAAAACAGGTATGCTCTCATATGAAATTCGACTCCCAAAGTTCCATTCAAACCGAATATTTAGTTCACGAGCCCTCTCTTCAGTAAGCACTGCAGGACTGGTCTTTTCATAAATCGATGCTAGCGACGCAATGACCGGAGCCGTCCGTGGGTAGGTCGATGTCCAGACATTCCTGTGTTTGGTGAAAGTCCACAAGGAAGTTTTCTGTACTCGAGTATAGGTTAAGGTTAAGGTTGAGTAGTGAGTAGTGAGTAGTGAGTACGAGTTACTGGTATATTATAAAGTAAGAAGATAAGAAGATACTTGGGTAATATTACTAATATACGAGTAGTTAAATGAAATGATAAAGATGGATGAAAGGGAGGGAGGAAGTATATGAGATTAGAAATGAATTTCATGAGAGGGAGCTCATATATTTTTACATTTTTACATTTTTACAATTTCACAAATTCACAAATTTGCAATAGTCAATATATAATCCTGTTTCTTACATGGCCCAGGCCTCTCTTTAATACACCATACCATACCATACCATACCATACATACCATACATACCATACATACCATATCATTGAGGGGTCCTCAGTCAAGCCAGACTACTCAAAAATGTCGGATCTCCCCGCAGTAGGTAGGGTAGGCATGATGACTTGGCTCGGGCTAGAGAGAGAGGTAAATCTGGCTGATTCTGGTATTGAAGTTGCGGTTCTGGCCATGATGATTCTATATCGTTGGACTTGTGGTTTGGGTTTGGATTTGGATTTGGATTTGGATTCGCAAAGTTATGTATGTATGTACACTCATTGAGTACTCAACTCAACTCAACTCAACTCGAGAATCTGAGTGCAACACCTATGAGTACTCGAGTAGTTGGTATTTGGTAATTTCTAACTTCTCATTCTCCAAACCCTATCTATAATTAGCTTCAAGTTATTTGATCTTCCTACTGTATTCAAGTAATCTTACAATTACTCTTCATTCAACTTTCAACTTTCATTCCAATATCCAGATGCAGATTATCTTTTCTTCAAACAAGTTAGTAGTTACTCGTACAAAATATTGAAAGTTCCGTTCTTCTTTGATGTTGATGTTTGATGTTTGATGTTTTGACATACTCGAGTATTGTGTATTGTGTGAGATACCTACGAAAGATAGGTAGGAAAGGAAACGAAAGGAAAATATGAGAGAGATACTGACTGTACTGTAATTAGCAGATTTTGAAATTGAAATTGAAATTCCCCTCATAGCATAGTCGAGTACACCTACCGACCCACCTACCTATTCATCCCCCTCATCTTCTTACTCGAGTAAATATTCGATATCTCTATCTCGTTCCATGAAACTAATACTAAGGAAGTTATCTCTTTCAAGGTTTCACCTTAGTACTGGCATTCACCTTCTTATTTTTTCTTATTTACAGCTCTAGCTTTGTTTTGTTTTTGTATCAGCCATCTATCTGCTCTTTCCTCTTTCCCCTTCCCCCTCCAATATAAATCCATATAAATAGTATACTCGTAGAATAATTTACTTTCCCACCGTATCGCCATTGCCATTATTGATTCTTAATCTTTTCTCTTTTCTTTTGGATAGTTTAATTTTAATTTTACCTACGTACGGTTGTTCTGTTCTTGTTCGGTTCGCCTACAGTATCATATTAATAAAAATACCGTATCTCTTGAGATTCCAATGGTATGGTATATATATTTCAACATAAAACATAAAATATCGTAAGTCACTAGATCGAGTCCCGGTTTGACCACGCATAATCACTTACTTACTACCTACCTACTATCCTAAAATTTTCATTCAGCATTCACCTATACAACAAACACATCACTTTTCACAAGGGAAGGCCTTTCTCAATTATTGGCCGAGTTCGGGAGATTTTCCTACAGCGAGTTCATATAATTTCTCCTAATTCTTAACAGAACAGGTATCATATCACAAAGCCAGACCCAACACAACACAACACAACCGGAATGCACCCACCACCACCATCTATATTCTCAGATCCATCCCACCGCGCACATAAACCCAAAACTTCTCCCAGTTCCTCCACCTCCACCTCCACCCCCCAAACCAAGAATCAGAATCAGAATCACAATCAAAATAACCCACCCAAACGACCACCAGTATCCAAACACAAAGCCCAGATCCCACGCCTCCGACACTTCAATCCAGACCTAGAAACTCAAACTCTAGAGCGAAGAACCCAAGGGCTATTCATGGATCAGGCGAGTCTCAACTTCAATCTCTTCAGCCGCTTGCAAAAGCCTGCACCACAGACTTCACCGCAGAGTTTGCATTTCGTACCGGGTCCGCTGCAACATCCTTATGCTCATCTTGTTCTGTCCACATCTACATCCACATCCACATCCATATCGCGGGTTTTCGCTGCTAATACTACTCAGGTTGTTGCGACGAATGATGGCGATGGCGATGTTGAGGATGTGGAGATGAGGGATGCGCCGGATATCAATATTTTCGAGTCGGGTGTTGTCACGGAGAAAACTGAAGATCGAGATAAAGATGAAGATGAAGAGGAAGATAAAGAATCAGGCACTTTCACTCCACCTACTACCATCTCTTACAGCCCAACCCCTGCATTACATCCCTCAAAGAAATCCCATTTATCTCATTCATATCCATCCTCCCTATCTCCATCAGCCCCAAACCAAACAACCAAAAACCCACTGCACCCCCTCCTCCAAACCAGCACCACCACCACCACCAGAGAGCAAATCTCACTCGAACTCTCTCTCCTCATAATAACCAAACACAACGAGTTAAGACTCATCCACTCAGAACTAGCACTTGCACAAATCATGCTCGAACAATTGCGACGCGCGCATTTGGTGCCTCACGTCTATGTCATTGATGAGAAGGGGGAGGTTCGTGCGCATAGGCCTGTTGTGGAGAAGGAGGTGGAGGATTTGAAGAAGGAGGAAGGAAGGAAAAGGGGAACTAGGACTGGGTTGAGGAGTAGTAGCAGGATTAAGTGTGCTAAGAGGTGAGAGGTGAGAGGAGGATGAGTTTGTGAAGGAAGGGAAGGGAAGGGCAGAGCGATGGATTCGGTAGGATAGAATTGCCTTCGGGATGATGAGGACTACTTTTCAGCGGTCATGTTATCTTGAGACAGCGGAGAACATAGGAAAACTTCAATCATCTTCAAAAGATGCAACCCCCAAAATCCGACTCTATCCCTGAAGAATGAAATGGTAATATCGGGCAATTTCATACCTAGCAAGCGATGAGCACATCGTGACTGCCAAGCCAATTCGTTATTACTTCAATTATGAATTCTAGAAGAGACGACTGGTTGTTCCTAGAACATCAAGAAATAGAAAAATTGGACTAGATTGAAATGAGATATTAAGTATAGATACTTGATATCAATGCCGCTTGGCTCTATTAAATGACTACTCAGTATTAATGTAGATATTGCTAACCGAAACTGTGTGACGTTGGGTTGATATGACCGCAGCAGTATACGAGTAGAAGTATAGCTACTATGAAGTAAGAGCTTCTTTTGTACTTACTTGTAGGTCAAGGTAGCATTTTATCGTTCGAACGCGTACGAAACAATGAATAATAAAAATAGGTTCATAGACCACGAGTAAACAGATATGAAGTGAATATGCAAAAGAGCAGTTTAGGAACACATGAACTTTCATGAGAAGTCACTGAATCCAAATGATAAAACTCTTGTAATACATTAGATTCGTGCTAGATTTGTTGTATTAACCCCTGATATCCCATAATATTCCACCCATCCGAGATTATTTCCCAATATCCCATTCCCAATCCCATCGTACATTATTTCTCGCCAATAGTAACTAAAAAGCATGGGAAACTGCCCAAAAACGAGAAAATCAAATTTGCGGTAAACTCCCAATCAATTGTTTAGGATTCATTTCATTCCTTTGCCTCCCTCCCCACCCTCTTGACCTCTCCTCCTAATCCTTTAATCTTCTCCCCTAGCTGCTCCCCCGCATTTCCCAACAGATGTCCCGCTTCCTTGTTCACATACTCATTTGTGTTCTTTGCGGTCTGTGTCAAATTATCTCCTATAACACCCGCTCTATCACTAGCTTTCGCTGTTGCTGGTAAACTGGCACTTGACTTTTCCCCGAGATCCTTGGCTCCATTAACAACCTTATTAGTAATGTCCTTCGCGGATTGGGCGATTGTGGAGGCGGAGTCTTGGGCGGTGGATGAGATGTTTGCGCCCGTTTTGCGGGTAGATTGAAGGGCAGTCTCACTACCAGTTTTGAGGGTTTGTAGAGCACTTTCACCCCCTTCTCTGGCTTTCGAAGCGAGGTTTTCGCTACTTTCCATTATCTTTTCCTTCGCTTCGCTCAATATCTCTTCGGGAGAAGGACCTCGTTTCAACAGTCGTAAAATCATGAAATAAAGTGAGAGGATGAGAGAATGAACTCGTTCTTTGACAATCATTGTCAATCCATGGCCAAGGAACCCTTTGATGATCTCTCCTCCGATCCCTTCGTACAATCCTCCTATTCCTTTTTCCTTATATATCTTGAGTATTGAATGTACTATCGTATTTCCCCTTGCTTGTTTAGATACGTCTGCTAAGTCTTTCTGTGCTTCCTTGGCGGATTTCTTGGACTCATTCTTTGTTGCGTCTTTTACATCTTCTGAAAGCTTCTCAACGGTATCTTTTTGCAATGGGCTCGCAGACGAAGATCCATCGACTTGCGCCCGAGCCTTAGCTAGACTCACGGGATATGTAACACTGCCCGCGACCGCCTTGCTGAAGGCCGCCAATAAAAATGTAATCCGCGCCCCTGGGTCATCGCGTTTATTTCTCGGTATCAGGACCCGCTTGAGGAATTCGTATAAGAAGAATGTAAGGCTGGGATTGAGGGTGAGGATCAGAGAAGCGCTGTAACCAGACCAGAAGCCGGCGATACCCTTGTTTTTTCGAATGTCCGATATTATTGAAGATATGGTAGGAGGCTTGGAGATGGCGGGGGAAGTCATGGAATATGTTTGTTTTCGGACGACGATATTTGATAAAGGAGTGGTGAAGAACTTCGACAATCCTCCAGCTAAGGCGCCAACACCCAATTCTTCAAGTGTTGGCAGAGCAGCTTTAGAGGATGAATGATGGGATTGCAATCTTTTGGATCGAAGATATTCATAGAAAAGGAAAAATAGGAAGGAATCGGCAATAGATTTCGATGTATCTTGTAGAACTCCACTGTAAAACCCGGCGATTCCCCCTTCCTCATTGTAAATCTTATGAAAGGCATCTGCGAGTGATTTGTATTTTGGTGGTTGTGCAGTGGTTGTGGTAGAAGAACTGTTTGCGAGGGTTCGTTGGACTTGGAGACGCGTTATTATGAGGTCGAGGGGATAGATGCAGAGATTAGAGATGGCAGTTCCAGTTGCACCACTTATGGCATGACCGAGTGCTGGAAGAGCCGTTGAGGTGGCAGAAGATGAGGAAGTATCTTGGTATTGGTGATAAAGGGTAAATGCATCCTATGGGTTGTCAGTATTCCGAGTCGATATTGAACAGGGTGAACGGGGGGTGTGGTACAAGCTGGCTATTGTATTTATCTGCCATAGCTATTCCTCCTAGTATAAATTAACTTGCGATTATGATATTCCTGTTGTTATGGCGATAGATTTCTGTATAAAAAATTACTTGAGTAGGATATCATATTATTTTGAATAGAGGGGAAAGGAATATTGATACTAAACCTCGGATATTTGAGATGCAGCATTTGAGATTACGTCATACCTTTGTCAACTAAAGCGGAGAAACGCTGCTATTTAGCTATTTGACCTAACCTTACCCCAGATTCTGCTTATGTAACCACCATATGTGTCGCATTAATACTTCGTCACCACCTCTTATTGATATACAGAATTTGTAACAACAAAACCACACTTCGAATTTATCTGCCTACTCATAGATTTCCTTGTTTTGCGGATTTACGGCTTTTTGGATAAGCAAACAGCCCTTCTAGTCCAAAATACTCTACTCGAAATTATACAGACTGCAGCCATAAGGAGAGCGATTGATCACTTGTGTCAAGTCCCGAACTGCGCGTGGGTCAAGTCGTAAGAAGGTTGATGTGTTCAAGGATTCTTGGGGTGGAATACTTGATATGTATATTTGCTCTGCATATAAACTAGGCTTAAAGATAGAAGAGAAAATAACACCAAGTAATGAACATAAGGAGGGACGGTCAATTGAATCTGAATCATCGACTCCAATAGGCAACGGCGATTATATCGTTGAGTCTAGCAGTAACAACGATTGAACGCGATTTTGATGTAATGAAAAGTATCTCTAGGTTGTACTATCAACATATTATGTGCTTAGATTGGATATGATGAAGTTTCCAAAAGGTCTTGACACATTTACGTCTGCGAAATTATCGCGATACGCTCAAATCATGCAATACCTTTCGAACTTTCAAAAGGTGACGTTGGAAGCTAATAAGCTTTCTACACACTGTATGTAGACGATAGAATCATGAACACTTGATGAGAAAGAGACATATGAACTGGTAGCAATACATACTCGGTATAGTGAAAAGTGTTGCGAATCTCTTGCGAAAGAACACCGACTACCTCTCTTTACCAGCGAGAAAGCAAAAAGAAATTGATACCTCAATATCTGGTTCTAATTTAGATAATAAAACCTTTGACTGATCACGTAAAAAACGCACATTTTTCTCCTGGTTGTTAGTGAGTTAAGTACTGTAAAATTGAGCACGGATCATCGGCGGAAGGTTTCGCCGTGGTTCAAAACGACATCAACCAAATTCAGCGCGCTGTTGCCTCGTCAGGTGATCAATCTTAAATTACCAACTCTTCCTATCTTTCCCGGCCGCGTAGTCCCACAACTTGTCCTTCAATCAAACCTTCAAGTATCTACATCTCTCACTACTAATCGTCCAGACGCAATTATGTCTCACAGTAAACGCAACACTTCCCGTGCGGTCTTCACCTCTCATGAGCGGGAGATGGCAAAATCAGCCTGGACATCCAGTAGTGCTCGTCTGTCTCGAGACTCCTTTTTGCCATTTGCTTCGTGTCGCTTATGTCTTTTGCCTGCGCGTACACCTGTATCGTGTAGTCATGGCGATATATTTTGTCGCGAGTGTGCGTTGAGCAACATTTTGGCACAGAAAAAGGAGATCAAGAGATTAGAGAAGACTAAGGAGAAAGATGATCAGGATAGGAATGAAGATCGTATGAAAGAAGACGATGAGGCAAGAGAGAGGGCCGTGGAGGTGTTTGAGAGAGTGCAAATGGGGTTGGAGGGAAAGACTGGGGGTAAAGGTGGCAAGATTGTAGGAAGAGAGGGGGGAAAGATTTTGGTAGAGGAAGAGGTAAATGGCGAAGGTGGAAAGAGGGGAGAGAAGAGGAAATTCGAGTTGGACGAAGATGAACTTTTGAGAATTGCGCAGAATGAGAGGTCAAAAGCGAGGAAAGCTATTGACGATGAAAAGGTATGAGTTTTTCCCCACCAACCATGATATTTATTAAGACTATAATAGGCTTCTAAAACAACTTTGCCCAGTTTTTGGGTTCCTTCTGTCACACCATCTTCAAATACAAACACCACTCTCCACAACATTGTCAAAAAATCCAAACAATCGCCAGTTTGCCCCGCCTCACAGCAAGATAAACCCCACAATTACTCACTCCACACCTTAATCACGGTTGCATTCACAGAAGAAACCGACAGTACCACCAAAAAATCGCAAAGAATATGCCCTTCATGCAAGAAGCAGCTAACCAACACGTCCAAAGCCGTACTTGCCAAGCCCTGCGGTCATGTACTTTGCAAATCATGCGTCACGAAATTTATGACTCCAAGCGGGATTCGCGATCCGCACGCAGAGGTTGAAACAGACCAGAATGCCGTAGCATGTTATGTTTGCGACGCAGACTTAACAGAGCGGAATGATATGAAGGAGAAGGCGAAGAAGGGAGACAAGGAAAAGATTAAGCCGGGATTAGTGGATATCAAGAGTGAAGGAACGGGATTCGCTAGCGCGGGAGGTAATAAAGTAGTAAGGGAGGATGTCGCTTTCCAATGCTAGAGGTAAAGGACTATGCGGTGGTTGTACGTTAGAGACGGAAACAGGGAGCATGATATACTGTGGCAATAAGAGAAATGCTTTTAATAATATACCCTATATTCTCACAGCTGTAGCACAGCAATATTCTGATATTTCTTTTTGTATGTTCCACCGAATATCATATGATACAAACGAAACTTGCCGAAATACTCTAAGCTAGTAGTGGGAGCCAGTCCATAACCGGAACAAGGCATATCCATCTTACGAAACATTATTGTTTGATAATCCGCTATTTTCTCGTGGATAAAAAGGTTGTTCATGACCCGGCACTCAGTCATTCCCAGGTTTCTGTTTCTTTAGGTTGATACGCTAGAGTTGTGACGTATTTCGAAGTCTCACCAGAGACATACATTGGATTTTCCGTTCTGACCTCTGTTTTGCTACTCTGTTTCGCTGATTGAGGATACACTAATGGTTTGGCGACCTGTCTCAATATGATAATCCTACTCCTCTAGGCTCTACCCACCCAACAAGTAGTGCCCAGAGATGAAGGATTGTAGGGTGGATCAAACAGTGTATTGTGACGAACATGACAGTAAAAAATATGAGTTTGTTGCTCAGGCTAGTGCAGCGGTTTACTAATTTTGTCCCTTCATCTTCATAACGCTCCTTCTAAATTTTGAGCACCTCCTCTATACCTTAATTGTGACTTTCTCCTAACAGTGTTTGCGAATCTATACCTCAACGATACAACCTTTCTTAAAGTAAATGCTCGAGGTTTCAATCAAAAACATCACATATCCCCTCCAATTCAGCCCCCAACTGACTTTACTTATCAACGCTCCTTTCTTCATCAAGCTAGTTTGGACCAATTCCCGCTTAGTTTCCTCGTCCTTCATATCAATGCTAAGAACGAGTCAGACAAACGTGGGATTCGGTGAAATCGGCGAGAGCAGGCAAAATATGCAGCTTGGGCTCCACGATGATAGGAGGACTAAAGGGCTATCGAGGATAAAAGCGTCGACACAGATAAGGTAATGTTAACAGCTGCAAAGATTAGATACAAGCGCAATGAACAACAAACCACAAAGATTGGCGGCGGTGAGTTAATTTCTTCAGGGTGGGTGAGGTAATGGTATTGTGGAGTCCTAGATACTGATTAGTTCGGGACAAGGCGACTAGACCGTTTTTAGGTGACTTGTATTGATCAATCTTTTAGGATCATTAACATCTTCATGTATAGTCGCTTTTCAATGAGTTCGGTCCCCGCCATGTTACGGGTTACTCTGTCCTCCAATGCGTCCCACGAGTTCCAAATCATGGGGTTTTCAGAAATATCAAATCTTTCGATCTTTCTCCCAAGATGTTGTGTTATATCTAGGAACGTTCGTCTCTCTCACTTCAATTCTGTGGGAAGGATGTGCTAAAAGGGGAAATAATCGATCCGATAGTTACCAGATACAGGGAGAACCATTTCTTACTTCTCTGCTCCCATCTTCTCGATCCTCTCCACCAAAAGATGCTGGGTGACATTGTTCGTGAGAATAAGTATGGTTGAGGTTATGAATACATATTGATGACTTTTGGATGTTGTGTTTTGCGGACTGAGATTTTAATTATGGTGAAGATATTATCGTACCTATTTTTTACTGCATTCGTGGGGGAATTGTTTGGCTTCAAATACATTTTCCCGCACAAGAAGAAAATGAAGCTGTAACCATTAATATCAAGTATCTACATCCTCGCTTCCAACATTATAAGACTCAACAACTTCTCTACTGTAGGCATCAAACCTTACCGATGTTCTGGAATGTCGCTCATTGCTAAAGTACTATCACTATCTTGACTACTTGCTACGACTTAAACGATGCATCGGGTACACCTATTCTTCTCTTCATCTTTGTCTTCTTCGCTTATTTGGCGGGATTCGTCTATATCATAAATATAGAGGCGGTAGCTGTTTGTAAAAGTATCGTATCGTTGGATTTGGCTCAAGTGGAGAAACATCGGCTTCTAACGTTGCTCTTCCAAGGCTATTGATGTTTACAGATATCTGAATGTATGAAATTTTGTGGGATATTCAAATAGTCGTAGATATCAAATAGGTCTACCCTTCTCTGCCGTTCTAGCTCGGTAGCGCTTGCCGAAATGACTTCACTATGGTTAGATTGTCTAAAAGTTGTTGAATAAATACCTGAATAGACATACATAAGTAACTAGTAACGTTAGCTATGTGTAGATCGAGTAGATTATGAATCTACTACTACTACTACTATAAGTGACTGAACTAATTTTGAGTGTGTACGAGAGACTCCGTCGCATAGTCCTAAGCGAAATATGAAAACACTTAAGAAAGAAGTCTTGAATATCTAGGTTAACACTAGATGTTGGTCTAGCCATGGATTTCTGGATAGCTACCAGTTTCTAATTATTACTACTCTAGAGTAGCTTCAAACATTAATAATATCATTACTGTGCCTATATCATTTTTTATTTAAATTAAAAAAAAATGTATTTAATAAATAAAATCATCGTTGATATTAATGTCAATAGCACGTTCCGGATTTATTACAATATAGTTTAAAAAGTCATTCGAACAGTCCTCAATGTGTGAGGGATCACAAGCAGGGAATAGGCCGGATAGTATCAGTACTACAGTTAGGGTATAGTTTGTACAGAACTGAACTCATACCACTGCCAGGGTGGTATGAGGGTAGTTCTTTATAGATTTCAGTACGAACTAACTAATAAAGAACAAAGGATATGAAAGGATACTCCGTATCCTTTCACATCCACCCTTTTCCGGCTAGTCCCCCGAAGGGGATTAGTCTCTACGCGGTGACACAATGTATATTTGTAGAATATCAAATGTCTATATTAATATTGCTGTATAATACTCGGGACTAGCGGCCGCATCCGAAAGCAACCCAAATTTAGCAATCGCATACAACAAGAAATCGCGACGTCACTTTTTTTCTTCCGACCCCAACATTAAAAAAGTTGATCTTGCTTGACCACTTGACCATGACCATGACCATATCCATGATCATGGCATTTTCGAGTTTTCAATGTTCCATCTCACCACATTCATTATAATCCCATATTTACGACCTATGAACTCTCACTTGTATAATCATCAATAATTCTCTCTCTCATAATGTCTTTACCCTCCTATACCAAACTTCAATCCGACCCTCCTTCAAAACCAAGTTTACCATGGCGATTTGGCTCGAGCCTAATTATGGGCGTCACCGGAGCGTTCACTCGATTTTTCTACTATGGGTTAAGCAATGTAGAAGTTATTGGGCTGAAAAGATTCCTTACGACTTTGGACAGCCGGCAGAATCCTGAAGATAGAGAAAGAGGTTTAATTACCGTCTCGAATCATGTCAGCGTTTTGGATGATCCTCTGATGTGGGGAGTGCTGCCCTTCAAATACGGCTTCAACTCGTCTAATCACAGATGGAGCCTTGGTAGCTACGATATTTGCTTCCGGAATAAGTCTGCGAACCTACCATCCGTCTGCCATTCTCGTTACTGACATTTTAACAGGATACTCTCCTCATTCTTTACCTTGGGCCAAGTTCTACCCACACACAGAAGCGCATATTCCGAGGATGGCGGACTCTTTCAGCCAACGATTGCGGAAGCCATACGAATGTTATCCGCACAGCCTTTCTCTACCCGTTACGAACCACCGACACAAAAGCCAAAGAAGAAGATATCTATGCGGCCAAAAGATCCAGATATCATCGACCCCTTCACTTCCGGCGACCTCACGTACTCAACAAATGGCACAGATGTCTTTCCCGCTCCCTCCGCATACACCTCACGAAAACATAGTTGGATACACATATTCCCAGAAGGACGAGTGCACCAACATCCGAACAAAACCCTACGCTATTTTAAATGGGGAGTATCCAGGCTTATCCTCGAAAGTGAACCTCTACCCGAGATCGTCCCTATTTTTATTGACGGCAATCAAGACATTATGCACGAATCACGAAAATTCCCACGCTTTCTCCCTCGAACCGGCAAGAAAGTGCGCATTGCATTTGGAGAATCAATCGACGGAGAACGCATATTTGGAGACTTGCGAGCACGGTGGCAGAAACTAGTTCGATTACAGAAGGATGCGTTAGCAAGGAAGGGACTAGATGACAACATGGACATGGGTGAACTTACAGAAGGTCTTAAATACTACAAGGAAGCAGTGGCGTTACGTGAAGAAGTCACGGCTAGAGTTAGACAGGAAGTGCTTAAAGTAAGAAGGAGCCTCGGGTACGAAGACGAGGATCCTAAGCAGGGATTGGTTCAAACTTGGATCAAAGAAGGAAGGAGCGATGGCAAGCAGAAGATGGATGGTAGTTGGGTTGGGGACACATGATTTGGTTGCGCACCTAGGATACCTAAAGATACCTAATGATACTGATGACTATTAGTTTGCTGCTTCTGATAGAGATTCCGTTTGTTGAAAATCTATCGTACATTCAAATCAAAGGTTGTGTTTAGTCACATAACTTCCTGCCCTCGACTCAGGTATTTCCAGGTATAAAGTAGATTGGGACATACAAAGGTTTAATTTAGTAATACCTACCTAGTAATTTGTGTCCATTTCCATTTCCACGTATCAGATATATACGCATTCAATTCTATTTTATCCCTATTGTTTTGAATTGTCCCTCATTATTATCAAAATTCAAAAATAAAAATAAAGGGGTGGATTGGATTGGATTCGGTAACGCAATATAAGATATGTATGCCCTTTTTTTTTACCTCATTATTGATTTGCTTTGCTTTGCTTTGCTGTCTGAAAGTTTTTATTGTTTTTATTGTTTCGATTTCGATTGTTGGTTCGGAATGGATTGGATTGAGAATGGGGTAGGGTATTCAAGATGAATGCTATTTTTAGAGTGAGGGTCAAATGCGGGATAATGAATATATACCCTTATATCTAATTCTCGGTTTCTGAGTGCAAGTTACTTTGATTGTTCAAAATCAGAGTTATTTTTGTAGTAGTTATACCCCGCTCTTGACTACTTGAGTATGGTCATTTCGGGTACACGAAGAGAATATCTATTGCTTCCTTCCTGTTTTGGGGATTGGTCGACATTGATGAAAAATTACAATCGATTTATGAGTAGAGTATTCCAATATAGATTTGAGGACTGGATCTTCGGATATGGGATATATATCTTAATTTACTCGAGTATATATATATATCTGGCCATCAGATCAGATTCATATTCTCTGAGTATCGTTAATTAGTGTCTAGAATATTGATAATGTTTGGGGATGTTACACAATACTAGGCCGAGGATATGATTTAGAGACACGGAATACTAAGTATATACTTGAGTACTTGAGTATATATAAATATACCTATCTCCTAGGCAGAGTCTACTTGTATAATAGTAGATATATTATAAATAAAATTAATTATAATTTTCTTTAATTATATTCGACTAACTTGAAGGTGATAGAATTATAATAACTAAACTAACAATAGTCATTTTAATTTTGTATATTCTTCTTTCAAAAACCCCTCGAGAATATATATATATATATATATTCGTATTTCCTATGAGTATAGCCTCGTAGTTCAATCTACTTATAACGTTTCAACTCTCTTTAAAACTCCTTGGGAGGACTAATGATAACCTTCCAATCCGTCCTCACATTGTTTTCAACAAGATCCCTCCAATGCTTCTCATTTTCCTCCCGATAGTAGATTTGAAGCTTTCTTGGGACAATGATCTCCATGACTCCCAAGCCTTTCATCCTCGTCAGACTTTCCTCATAAAACACCTTGCAGCTTTTTTCCCATTCCGACGATTCAAGATTATAGTAATCTAATATTATCCTGAGCTCTGTCAATTGCATATCGAAAAGAAGATCCAAAGCAGTTCTATAAACTAGCCCAGAGTCTATTGCTCCGCCCTCGAAAGGGCAAAATCTCACGGGATGAAAATGAAGGCTAAGGAATCGAATCTTCCCGAAATGCTGGCGAGGAATGCGACGAGACATTTGAAGGAGATGCATGGGAGATATGAAACGGAAGTGCGAGAGGCTGTAGATAAGCGGAATGATCTCTTTATATCTGTATCGGGTCACATTTAGCCTTCTTCTTCACTCATCTAGGCATTTTCATAAATCCAGCTGGAAGAGGAAAGAAAACTAACATCATTCGGCATGACCTTATCATACCTAGACCTATCATCGACCTCCTTGTCTGGGTTCTTGAACACTCTATAAAATTCGCATCATTCGCTACAAACATCATGGGCTTCCTACGCATCCATTCAACTAGTCTCCAATCTGGGAAAGGTTCCGCTTGAGAAAAGAAATTCGGGGGTTTTGTTTGGAATCGTTCACATGTATGATGGTCGAATATATCTTTGAGCTTTAAGGTGCCGTGCTGTATGACATCTGTGATATAGATTATAGATTCGGGATGAGTGGGTAGACTAAACTCATATATCCGAAGACGAATTTCGAGCGGGAGACGACAGAAATATGATTCCAGCTGAGGGGAGAATTGGGGATGAGTGTGCCCAATGCTGGGGTATTGAGTCGAAGGGGTTGTCAGGGCTCGACGACAAGAGCGAAGCTTGGATTTCGTGGCTGGAAGTTCTCGACGATGATTATGGGAATCTATTGCCTCGAACACATCTCCTAAAGAGCTCAACTCCCAAGTGCTGGCGTTGGTTGACATCGCTGAAGATTGGAGAGTATTGAGGAGAGTTTGAATGAGGTTGTCGAAGATGGATCGGGTGGAGATATAATGCAGGATGTGGCAAAGTGCATGAGTGGCGCGGTCCTATTAACTAGTTAGAAAGATAGAAGTTTTATATTTCGTAAGGAAAAACCATATACTAATAAAGAGGTAATATCTTATAATCCAGATTGATTATAAATATTATTATATTTTAAAATTAATGAAATGTCTTATCTATGAAATGAATCTTGATTAATCTATATATAGATATTTCTAAGAATTTCTTATATTTAGATTTATTATTCTGAAAACTATTGATATTATAATAGAACCAAAATCGATAATATAATATAATGATTTTGAAACTTATCTTCTGATTTTTATTCTGATAAGATACTACTAGATAGATACATCTATATATCTTAATTATTTTATTATATTTATATACACCTTCAAAAAACTCTATATTCAATCAACCCTTCTCGCTGACGAGCTGTTCGTTGGCCGGGCTACGCCCTATCCTCACGGGCTTGCTAACGATATATTGAAGTTTAAGGTTATGGTAGCAGCTAGCTGACTCTACACATCCCGATTATCACCATAACTAATGAGACATCCAAAGGTACCTGAAATTTGCGCCATATCCCAAATGAAAAGTCCCCCCCCCAACACCGTTTCCAGCGAAATCTAGACCGACATGAAAATGGGAATATCCCATTCACGATATGAGACATCCGCACCATGGCTTTTCAGCACCTGTCACATGGCAACCCGGATCCAAAATCATTTTGTGTTGTGGAATGAAGTGTGGGGATAAAGGAGAACACGGATATAAATAAATGAATGTATATCTTCGATTAGACTCGCCAATCTTGAATATTAAAAAGCTTCCCTTCCATGCTCCCTTCCATGCCAAGAACGAATTCACTTGAAACATTCCACAAGCGAAGCCACAAAACAGAAACAGGCCATTCAACGCAAACAACGCGATCCGTTCCAATCCATTCCATTCAAACACAAACCAAACCAAACCAAACCATGCTATCCCCACTCCCAGCAATATGCCTCCTCCTTTCCCTCGCCACAACCACCACAGCCATCACAGGTCACACCCTCTCATTCCAAAACCTCTTCCCCGAGCCACGCCTCCTAATATTCACCCCCACACCCAGCAGCTATATAATCCCGCCCCAACTAATCGCGCCTTCCCAAATCCTATCACTCTCCACACCCCACTGGAACGGCAATTTCAAAGCCGTTAACGCCAGCACATACAATGCTGAGAATCCTGGTCTGGAAAATCATATTTGGGGTGAGGTATGTTTTGCGTGTTGGCAAGACATTACGTTTTTTGACGTGAGTGCCATTTGGAATTGTTGTGATAATGAGGGGGTGCATTGGATGTGGGGGTATGATTATGATGGGGATGTGGATGTGGAGGGTGATGGGGAGGGTATTAGGGAGGGGGTGCGCGAGGGGGAGGTTTCTGGCTGTGAGACGTTTCCGTGTAAAACGGTTTATAATAAAAGTGGGGATATGCAGACGAAGACCACGACAAAAAATGCAATTTGGGTTGTGTTGGGGTCTTAAGTGAGAGGAGATGTGAACTGGGGTATAAGAAAACTCACACTAGCACTGAGGTTTACGGCTGATTAAATGAGCTGGGACTGGATTTTAATGCTTGGCATAGGTGGAAATATCCAAAGATCTGGTTGAGAGATGTACCTAGATAAGAATTGAGTAGCTAAAGTTTCTCAAACGGGTAGCAGCGAGCATAGTAGATCTAGAAGTGATGACAGTAACGGCACTGCACACTATCACTGGTAATCATACACCTAGAGACGAGTATTCCGTCCATCCTTGACATCATATTCATCGTTTATTCCTCTACACTAGGTTCAACCTCAGACATACCATGCATTGCATGAACATAGTAAAATCCCATTGTACATAACCAAGCAACACCTGTGCTCGATCCAACATGCCATGCTTTCATCCCGTCCCATGAGATATGTGTAACCTCGTGCCGAAATGTTTCAGGCGATGGTGGTAGCAGGTTCAGTAATAGCCGTTACACCATCATCGCCATCAACTGTCCGATCTGCTCTAAGATTCGACTCTGCATCCGCACTAAAGATTTGATTGTCAGCTTTGCGCTGGTGCATTGAAGCGATGGGGAATTGTAGAGCGATAGTAAGCTAATGGATGGGGTCGTACATCTTATGGGCCTAGCGATTCAAAATGTTAGCTATGACTAGATGGGGAGAAGTGTTTGAGAGTAAGAATATGAGAAAGATGCCAAGATAGATACGATGGTGAGTAGAGGAGAGAATCCCAAAGGTCTTGAAATATACTTACAAAAATATTGACAAGTCGCATGGTAACGAAAATCATAACAAACATAAGGACGAAAACGAAGCTAAGAAGCAGTGCTATGATTTGGTTTGTCTGCATATTGTAGTGGATGAGGAGATACCAATTTTATAGGTAGGTAGCACCGCTATTTGTGTTGGTGAATTCGATGGAGATAAAAGATCTGATCGAAGATGAAGATTTAGCAAGTTGCAAAAATAAGTATTGTGAAGAGGAATTCCCTTGATTACTTTTCAGATGTGGTTTACTGTTTGATCTTATTTATCTTGTCAAAATCAATGATGAGAGGAAACCTAGAAATTTCAAGGGCTTGTGCAGATTCTGATTGATTTTACTGCATGGTGGTCGAAAGAAAAAGTTGGTGTGTATTGTTTATATTTACTTGCTGTCAATCAGACGATATAAAAGCGAGGCTAATTCCAAGCCTCGTCACTTTCTGTTGAGGAGTGAAGTTTGATCCTCAATGACCTTGGATGAAATACTTGGGTGGAGGTCATTCTTTTCGGCAAGATCTGTGAAAATGCTCAATGCTTCCCTAATCTCATTCTGGCAGAGAATTCGTGATTTGCTTTCTGAGAGTGAAGTTTGAAGCTCGAGGAGAGCATTTGTACCCAAAAGAATCCTTATGCAAGAGGCGAACATACTTGGCTTTGTTGTCCACCCAAGAGGCCCATCATCTTTCTTCATAAGCATGTTCAATTTTCGAAGTGCAACTAAAATCCATTTGGCGAGGTGACTGTATTGTTGCCAATGCTCCTCCCCAGTTCCATCGTTTTCCATCATTTTGAAATGCCTTGAAAGAAGATTACTCCATATTTGAGCTTCTCTAACTTCATCAACGAAGAGATTTTGTTCTTCCTCAACAAACAAAGCATCATTTTGTTTCATTGCCGCTGAAAGCTGATCTTCCGGCGAACACAATCCTGCATAGGCTCCATGAAATATGAACTCATCACTGCCTGTGATCCGGCAAATGATATTCCAGCCGAACATCTGATCTTGTGGGTATTTAAGCCTCAGCCATTCTGCAAATTCTTCACACGCAGCCAATGGGATCAGAGGCTTGCCTACTATGGAAGAGACGATCAGTGCACCAAGTTCACGAACTTCATCGTCATCATCATTGAGGGTATCGTAGAGTGTGATGAGACATGGAAGTATTTCGAAATTCCATTTAAACTCATCAGGTAGGCAGGCAAAAAGGTAAGAAAGTCCCTTTGCAGCAGCAAAACGAGTGTCGAAATCCTGCCATAAGTCAGAAGGGTATGAAATTTCAATCACGAAAAAGAAGACTCACATTGTACGATTTTCCAGCTTCACTCAACTGTTCTGCTCTTGCCATGAAGTTAATCTGAGCGCTGTCGTTTCCCTTAGATTTGAGCCAGTTGAAAAGCATGAATGTACCGCTTGTTCTCATCAGCGCTTGAGCTAGACGTGGTCCAGGCTTGCCACATTCAGAGCCCATGTAATGAGCGATTTCTCCAATATCCAGTAGGTATAGATCCAAATCACACTGCTTAATACTATCGAGCATCTTAACGTACTGGTCGTAGGTGCTGGATCCACTATTTTGAAGGTCTGCTGGGCTCACAATTACTGCATCTAAGAGCGCCTCCAACACCATACCACTATGATTCCTCCAGGCCTGTAGCACGCATTCCAAAGATGTGGCAGCCGTGTCGACATCTATCTCGCAATAATCATTCAAAGCTTTTTTGAGCGCTTGAACATCCATGGTCAATCCAGAAATATATACGGCTTCCCGTGCAGTTGCTTGATGTAGCAAAGCGCCACCCACGCGAGCTTTCTCGTAAGATACATCAGTATTGACTTTCAAATAGCCACGGCCAATATCATCCAATAACATGTTGTATGTGTCGTAATTACCGATGAGGTTCTCCCTGTCATTCGTGTTCAAAGTAGACGGAGGAATATCAAGCAGGATTTGATATATGTGATTTTTGAAATCGATATAAGTTGCTAAAGTCTCTGGGCATTGACCAAGATGACCCAACGCCTCAATGCTATCTTTAAGACTGATAAGATCTTGAATGTCTGCGTATTATGTTTAGCTAACACTGGACCATCTACGTGTGCGATAAAAACTTACTGGGAAGTGTCGAAAACACTGCGAGGCGGCGCTCTAGCACAAAATTGACCGTCATCAAAACTCCATGGGTATAATTAGTAGATGGGCCTGAAATCTGGAGCAGTTTTTGCAAGTCAAGTAACCATCCGTCATGAAGCATAAATGTACACATAGTACGGGCGGCAAGTTCTCTGGTATGCCAGTACTTGCTTCCCAAATGTATAGACACTTGTTCCTTAATTTCATTGCGAAGTATAACTGGTGGACCAGCACGACGAATGATATCCAGAGCCGGAAAGACTGATTCTATGGCGCCAATCGCTGGGGTATTGGTATCCTCGGTGTCCAGGGTCTCTTTGTTCAAGAGCTTCAGCAAGATTTCAGGAAGTTCCGGATACGTCTCGTATGAGAGTTTCGTCGAACGACCATCCCAGCCAGCCTCAATAGACGCTTTATTTTCGTTGGTACCAAAAAGACAGTCAATAAGACTTCTCAACAATAACAAGCCGCAATTTCGAATGGCCCAACTATTTTGATTTTGTCAGCACGGAAGTATTGTGTGAAAGTTGCTGACATACATTTCGGATATTAAGCTGTCTGCAGCAAGTTTTAAACAGTTCGGAATGTATTTATCTGATCTTTTACCCAGGGTAGAACTTTTGAATATCTCTTTTACACAGTTCATTGCATGCACTTGGGGCAAATTTGTCTCATCAGTCTCAGACAACGTAACAGAACGTCTGGCCAGAGATACTAACTCGGTCATTACGTTTTCGAAGGCAGGACTTTTGCTATTTGCAGACAAGATACCAGTAACGAGTGCCGGAATTCCTGCGGATCTTCGTGTTGTAGAAGCTTGCTCAAAAATGCATTGTAGGGCACCCTAAACTGTTAGCTTGATGGCAGGTGAAAAGAATAAGATGATTGGGTACCTTGTACCAGGTCTCAAGTAGATCACTCGAGGAATGGCATTGCGAAAGCTGACAGCATCTGGCAAATGTCAACGACACGGTAGAAAAGGCACCACGATGTCGAAGGCTAGAAAGTTGCTCGAAGGTCAAGTTTCCTACTTTTGTGAAGAGTTCAGGGCTCATTACTGAAGACCCATCATGACGGCGATCTTTTGCTTTCGTTACGACAGCTCTCATCAGATTACTGAATTTATATTAGCTACCCATGACTCCGTAATCAAGCAAGATGGTGCCTTACCTCGATTCATGAATCGCCCTGAAGCTGTAGCTTAATACATCTTTGGTATCAATGGACTCAACCTCATCAACGTCTTCGGGAATATGGCCTTCTGGTGAATCGTTGCATAGAATATCTTTTACAGAATCCCAGATACTGGAACAACTTGCAATGATACGACTTTGTAAGTCTTCCCATTCCTTTCGGATTGTAACAGAATCCCCATCCTCAGAGTCATTTCGTGAGAAGTCAACCTCCTCCCAGATATAGCTTCATATCAAATGTCAGCCCAATACTTGGTACCTCTCAAGAGAACTTTACCTTATTGTTGAAAAATCGCTGTGAATTGGAGCAATAAGAACAGCTTCGCTTATATCCCTCTGGGCAATTGCCACTTTCGTTTCTAATCCATTTACGAGTCCTTCGACGAGACTCAGGCGACCCTTGTTTGGGTCCAGAAGGCCATAAAGAATTTGGTAAGACCGTGCAACCCCATCCGCAAAATCTGCCCGACCTGTCCGCCTTGAGAAATCCTCGGCACGGCCGATGAAGTTGATTAAGATGTCAAAATCTGTGGGACCCTGGGACATTGGGGATCGGAAGTTGTGGGGACTAGCTAATTTCAATATTGCAGTAGCTCCACTTCTGACATCTTCGAATGGGTCCATGAGTAGATCTAGAATGAGTCGCATGGACTTTAGGTTGAACACGCTCAGATTATGAGCCCAAACAGCGACATCAGGCGTAGTCGTCGATTTTCGATCTTCAGATGAATGCTCCCGTAAGCCCGAGCGTAGCAGCAAGGAGATTGCCCTTAAAGATGTGGTATGTCGTTGATAAGACGCTGTAGGTACAAGCTCCCCAAGTAGGAATTCCAGGAACCATAGAAGGAACCTTTCGTGCTTCTCAAGTAGCTGTTGGGCATCCGAACAATCACATTGGCGATCTTGAATGATCATGCGGTCAATCTCTCTAAGGAGATACGCTGTTGCGCCCTTGATACGTTCTATCATATGCTTAGTATTGCTTAAAACATCATTACGAAATTTAGCATCGGTATCAGCGTACAGATGAGCCATATTCTCTTGTATAAACGTTAGCGCCGCCGGGCTGAATGGCCGAGTTGATGAGGCGGACGACACCAGTACTGAAAATGCCAAAGATCGAACTGTATCGGAAGGATGGGTCAACAATGGGCTAATGGTATCTTCATGCAGAATGATGCAGCCTGCATTCTTCTTTTGGGGCTTCAGAAAAGATGTGACATCTATTATTGTCAATATGGTACATTTTGGGAACTTGAAGGTACGGCTTACTAGAGTCTTCGACCAGGCCGGCTTTCTTTCCAACTTCTATTGCGGACAAATGGACCAGTGACTCAGATTCCATACTTTGATCCTGCATATCCAATAGACCCTTTTGGTTCAGATCTTGCAGAAAGGCTAAAGAGCCAACACGGTCGAGTTTGAAAAGAGGCGGAAGGAGATAGTTCTTGATATTTTCAAGGGCATCAGGGTTTTTGTTAAGCCCCTCACTGATCCAACGTTGCCACAGTCTCGTGTGGGTTTTGACTTCAGCACTTTTAACTTCACTAGCAAGCTCCTTTGACACTTTAAAGAGTGCTACCAAGAACTTTCCGGCTGAAGGCGAAACATCCTGGAGGTTCATCCATTGAAAGGTCTCGGAAACTATGCCATCAAGTGTAGAGCTCGGCAAACTCCCTTTATTACTACTTAATTTGATTGGTTCTTTTCGTGAGGCAGCTAGATCATCGATGGTGATTGTACCCTTTCCTATCAAGTGCTCCAGGATTTTGAAGGCTGGTTTGACCAGGGGTTGAGAAGCTTGATGACCGATGACGGACAGCAATCTCTCCACCATAATGGTCACCAGAGACTTTGAAACAACCAAATTTGGATGAGAATTAAGTAGGGAAGTCAACAGATCTAAAACTTGACGCATCGATCGGTGTTGATTTTTTTCGTTCCATTCTAAGTAGAAATTAAACAGGTCTAGACAATTCTTTTCGGAATACATAGTTTCTCTGACAGAAGAGGACCGTGAGGTTTTACACTGCTCGATAAAATAGCATAATATAAGACATGCATTTCCGGAAGCCTACAACATCGAGCAGTCAGTATGGAAGCTTCAACAAGTGTTATACATTGAGACAGAGCTGTACATCTAGACGGGGCTGGCTTTTAAATAGAGCTGAACATTGAAAGATAGTTGGAAATTGAAGAAGAGTTAACACTAAAGGAGGTTTAAAAATTGACAGAGATGTGAACATTGGAACCAAAATTGAATACTGAGAAAGAATTGACGGAAAACAAGTCGAATGTTGAAGAGAGTCAAACATTTAAACATAGCAGTACATTGAGATAGGGCTGGGCATTGAAACAGAATCGGGCCATGAAGGCCATGAAGGATGTGAAATTCTCACATGTCGCGGCTGAGCAGCTTTCTCCAAAAAACCATCGAGACTACTTCTCGTAAGCCTGGAAATAATAATTAGTAAAGTAGCTAGTATAAAGAATACTTGATTATTACTGTGACTGGGTTGATTCAGGTTGATTTTCAATCCATTTAGGTAGAAGTCGTTCATCTGCTGGAGCTCCAGTACTAGGCACCGTAGTCGACATCATTTTGTCTGAGTGGTCGAGCGACAATCAATCCTCGCTTCAGGTGGGGGAGGAGAAGGGGGGTTGTTTCCGCTGCGAATCCGGATTTTTCCCAGAGGTCTCCGAGGAATTTCAGTTGTTCCAATAGTCAAGGATGTATGAGAAATTACGCAAAGCTTTAATCTCTGATACAAGAGTGAAATATACACAAATCCGACGGTTTCTTATGTTTCACCGAAGTATCGTACCTATCTGAATTATCAGCCAAAATACAAATATAAAAAGTTTCATAGTGTGTGAGAAATGAAATGATATTCTTGCACGTGATTTTGGATGGACCGTGCACGGACCATCGTCATAATCCGGGAGGGAAACTAAATTTTTGAATTGAAAATGAACATCTAAAGTCCTTGACAGAATTTTGATATATTTACATATTATCAATCAACAACCCAACGCACGAAACTTGCGCCGACCTCAATTTTATATACTACGAGTTCGCATATCGAAATCTGAATATGTCGTTTTGGGATAAGTTGACAGGGAGAAAGTCATCAAAGGATGCTTCTAGTGGCGGATCAACCTCAAATACTCCAACAGACGACTTCACACCTCCACCTTTCAACCCCCAAGAAGCTCAAGATGTCACCTCATTCCTCACTGGCCCAGAGCTTGTAGACCCATCACGACTGCATCCCATGGCAGGTCTAAACCAGCAGACGCTAGATTATCTATCCCTCGAAGAATCTACTCTCTCGGACCTTCCAGGATCGCAGGCTGCATTACCCTCGAGAGGCTGGTCGGACGATTTATGTTATGGTACGGGTGTGACATATTTAACGGCGTTGACTGTAGGAGGTGCGTGGGGATTACAGGAGGGGCTGAGGAGGTCTGCGACACAACCACCAAAGTTACGATTGAACTCGGTGCTGAACGCTGTTACAAGGCGAGGCCCATTCTTGGGAAATTCTGCAGCAGTGATCGCGATGGTTTATAACGGTTTCAATTCTTTTCTTGGCCATGCAAGGGGCAGACATGACTCGGCGAACAGTATCCTTGCGGGTGCGCTGAGTGGAATGATCTTTAAAAGTACCAGAGGGGTTCGACCTATGATGATTTCTGGTGGGATTGTCGCTTCAGTGGCCGGCGCATGGGCAGTGAGTAGATATTCGACCGCACACTTTTTAGACATTAATTTACTGACAATATTCTCAAGGTCGCGAGAAAAGCCGTATTTTAAATGACCAAAATAACGATAAAAACCCCCTTCCACGACGAACCTCCGATCTTCTTATGATTTCAAGATCCGCGAAACCAGCGAACATCCTCCATTGCTCTAAATAGAACGAGCTTTCTTCAGCGTATCGACACATATTGTGCTTTGTCATTATAATAGATTTTGTTAATTGGCGTGGGTTGCATAAGCGGGTTCATCTCTCCTCTTTACCCAAGAAGGGCAATGTAAATATAGATGGGAAAGGTACTGGATGTGTTTTGGGCACTGTAGTATCAAAGGAGTAATGCAGAGTCATTAAAACTCGGTCCTCGCCTGGTTCTGAACTTCCAAGAATATTTTAGGGTTGTACTGGCTGTACCTTCCTCTTATAAGAGAAGCCGACTTATAGTATCTCGTCCGAAGAATTCCTTTTGGTGAAAAGAAAAAAAGAGGAAATTAAAACAATTTAAGGATTTTTAAATCTCTTTCTACAGCTTCCGTACTAGGTACTCAACAACGGCTACCACCGTACTTAGTTACGCTTGTTTTTTCCACCGCATATTTTTTTCTAGCCCTTTCCCACATTTCAAACTCTTTCCTCGAGCAAATCGAGCTCTTGAAATTCTTTAAAAGTCACTAGAAGTAGAAGCAGTGACCATCATCATGAACTCACCTATCCCCATACAATCTACTCCAGCGCGTCGTGCCTACACGCCTCTTGAAGTTAAGCGCATGATTTTCATCAGTCTCTTTAAAAATGGAGCAGGCGCTTCAAAGGGTATCCCGTCTGCGGCATTGTCAAAACTCTCAATGTATGACCCGAACACGACCATGCCATTTGCTACTGCTTTATCACTTGGAGAGGATGAGAGTTTGCAGTCGGTCGTTCAGAAGGCTGCAATAGAATTTTCCGAGCATGATGAGTTGCGCCAAAATATACGTTATTACGTCAAAAGCCCGAAAGCTGACGCTGAAGATATGCGAATACACGTCGGTAGACTCCTCGATGAAGATATCAAGGAAAGGGATCTCTTGAAAAAGGACCCGCACATACTACAGAGATCGATTCTGGCAAAGGTATGAACTACCATCTTCATTTCTCGTACTTTCATCTACTGTCTATTTACTTCTGTGCAAAGCAAATGGCACTCAGCTAGCTAACTTGCATAATCATAGGCCATCCTTGTTGTGAATGAAATGGAGCAAAAATGGCTTGGGATAGAGATCCAAGACGATGCGCATGATTTCAAAATCCAGTTGGTGACTTTGGTTAATGGCTGGGGACAAGTTACCAAGGTCGAGCTACTGTATTTCAAGTTCAAGACATCTTTTCTGAGGTTTGTGGCTACACTCAAAGATGAAACTCGAAACTGCCAAATTCCTCCGGAAAACATCACTATGCCTACTCTTTCCTGGCCGTTCGCCGATTTTGGGGATAAAGAGGTACAAATGAACAATGGAACTTCGAATACTTCTTCTGACATTCAGAATACAAAGTCCTCGGAACAAGTAGCGAATGGCAATGGCATATCTCCAGAGAATATTGAGTCCACCCAGAGTACGTCAGCTACAACAAACCGACATCCCAACGACAAGGGCTACAGTCTCTGGGATGGTCCTTGGATGTATCGATTGCCGCACATAGGCAAAGACGGCGAATCCAAACCCAGTTGGCGATGCCTCCGAGATGAAAAAGACTATGCGAATATGCTGGATGGCATCACTCGTGTCAATTCCAAATATCAAGCGTGGGGCCAGCGATTTAAATGCAGTGTCTCGATTATGCACGTAAGTACATACACTTCTACTAGTTAGGCCTCGTATGCCCATACTGACAAGCATTCATTTATCAGTCGCTAGATCGAGATTGCCAACAAAGGTATTTTGACATCCGAGAGGAGGAGCGAGCTTTTAGTGCGCAGTGGGAGAAGGAGTTGGAGAAGGCGGGATTCTTTGACGATGAAGATCCTGTTGGTGATCCTGGAGATGATTGGTTTGATTCTTGGTTGAGAAACCGCAAAAGTCCTTCCAAGAACACATAACCAATGGAAATCTATCTCGAGCTTGGGATGCTCTACCAGTAAGGTCCTGACTTGATAGGAAGGAGTTTCTGAGAAATGGAGCATTGATCATGCTAGCTGATACGAACCTTTAGATTGAGACATTGAACATTCAGATTGGTATTTTACTAGTATTGAAGGGAATGCATCTTATAATCAAATATTTGAGCATCCAGAAAGCATCTCTGGTGAAGCATTACAAAGTAATGATGACTCAAAAGAACCAGTAATCTCTACTCTGCTGCTACAAAATTGTGTTAGATTTTGTCTACAATGGTTAGTTTTAATACAAAATGTTCCCACAAATTCTTTCAATCCGGACATTATGTCGTTTGGTCAAAGTCACTATATGTAATTCATTAGTTCATGCTACCAAGAATGAATAGTCAAGGAAAGACCCCTCAAAAAACATAACTTTTAAAGACAAGACAAGGCAAGACAAGGCAAAGCAAGGCAAGAGCAAGGCAAGAAAAGAACAACATTCCATTCAAGCCCCACACTTCCCTTGTAAGTTGTCAGATACCTGTACCTACTAGGTACATAGTAATTTATTTCCTTCCGAATTCACTTCCGACCGACTGCAAACTTGGATTTCAGAACTTGTTATATTGTTTTATTATCTCCTCTTTTTTTTCGATCAAAGAAAAGAAAGCAAGACCATGTGTTTTGCAGAAACACAAACTCCCTCCTCCTTCTCCTCTGCCTTCTCCTCCAAAATACCAAAATACAACTTTGTTTCTCCTGGTTAAGGTTGCTCTGCATAACTACTCTTATAACTATTGCCATATCCATCTTCATATATTTCACACATACAACATACACATACAGATCAATACAGCTAGCGAGAAAGACCACAAAGCAGGAGTACGAATACGAGTACTCCTAAAGAAAGATGTGCTTTCCATGTTGGCCTTTTACAGATGTGTATCTAGAGGAAGAGGAGAAGAAAAAGAAGAATAAAAAGAAGGGGGAGGATTATGAGGGAGTCATGGTGTTTGATCCAAATACACGTCAGTGGGTTCGGATTACTGGTGTGAGTTATGGGTTTTCCTTGGTTCTTTCCTTATTTGTCGATCTGGAGGTTTTCTGGGTCTATCTCGATCTATTGTATCGAATTGGGATGTGGTTATAAGATCTTCCTGGACTACTGGACTGCGATATTGGTATTGGTATTGGTATCGTGACATCTTGTCAAAATTGACTGATACTGGCACTTTAACTCTGCCAAATTCACTTGATCGCTTCTTGACTTCAAGTCAAAACAGTACTTGAGGCTTGAGCAGACTCGGTAACAGTCTATAAACCTCACCTTCGATAAAATCAACATCCAAGGATAGAATTTCCATATCTCAACTTTTGAGAGATACTGGAATCAAATCCATCAATCTCACCACCAATAAATTCATTTCGATACTCCAACATAACCATTTGACAATGACTCAAGTTCCAGTCCAAAACTTCCAACCCCAGGTTCCAGATACTACCAATGGACCTCACGAGCATATTTACATCCCTCGCTCCGACGGTACCATCATAGTCAATGGTGACGTCTACGTTCGACAAACCAAGACTCCAATTCCAGTCGCACCTATACCCGTCGCCACTCCTGTAGAATCTCCACATAATCCTTACTTTCAATTCTACCCATTTGCAGCAAGTTCCAATCTCTGACTTGGCTTCCTCATTCACTCTACAAGAGCGCAAGTTGCGCACACCAATTTTCCTTCCGTCAATTTCAATTTCACATGTACTAATCTTCAGTTGCTAACAATTGTTCTTCTCTCTAGACACCTCAACCCACCATGCATCAACCCACCTTCCAACCTTACCCCTACAATCCCTACACCCAATTTGCAGGTCACGGCCAACATGTTCCCTTCGGCGCAGGCTATGTTCCGCAACCCGCCATGAACACATATGGAGCTACCAGTAGCGAAATCCAATTGCAACAAATGCAGACACCGGATGCGAACAAGAAGCAAGACATGAAGCCGGCTGACGATGATCCATTCCGCATGTATTGGGTTCGGGAGGTAGATAATACGTGGAGTCAGAGAAATCGCTTGACGATTGATAGTGGCGATATTGGTGAGGTTAGAGTAAGTTTGAAGCTTCCTTGTGATGTTGGGAATAATTCTGATCAAGTTGTCTTTCTGTGCAGTGGTATGCTGTTGATGGTGTTTTCTACGCCGTCAGATTACCTGCTTAGATCGGCTCAGCAACGAATCGAGAGGGGCTACATCGTATGTATGGCAAGGAAGCGTAGCGACAAGTCATCGTCTTTCTAAGCTGTCTCGTATGCAGCTCAACTCGAATTCCTTCCAGTTACCCATGATGGCAGACCTTGATCACAATACGCACGTTACGCAATGATATGATATGTTGGGACGAAGAGCAATAATAGGACGAAAGGAATGATAATGATTTTATGAACTCATGCATGGCTCGTCATTCGTTATTACAGTATGGAACACTTACTTTGATTGGGCTTGGTGTTTCATGGCTGCGGGGGTATGATGGATGCATTACTTAGGTTAGGGTTGCTTACATTTTGCAGCAAGTCTTGGCTGTTAACGCCTGGATTTGCCTTTGTGTATAGACTTTTTGATCAATACATGGTTTCTTACAAGATAAGATGTCGGCTTGCAATGTGATGATTTAGCTTACCTCCCCGTTTTGAATATGTTATGAGAAATGGGCGGGACTTAGTGGTTTGTATGAGCAGAAGAAGCTTGTCTGCTGTCATAGTGTGATGATGATTGATGATATCTTTCAGTAGATAGTCAGTAATGACCCCAGAGGAGGAATAGGCTTGCTCTGCTGATTATCAATATCAACATTTTCCATTTTCCATATTTTTATATCTCAATCACTAACTAACCTACTCAGTACTCTTGAAACTCGGGTTTGCTCATGATCGGCATACAATATTAATTACAAAAGACTAAAAGTTGGGAAATTCAACTCAACTCAACCCAACCCACAACTTAGATATCGATATGATCCTATGATCCCCTCTTATATGTATGCTATAGGTATTATTATTATTAGATACTCGTTCATTCATTCATAGTAGGTCTATATGAGTAGCGAGTAGCGTCGTTCTTGCATGTTGATGTTGATGTTGGTGTTGATGTTGATGTTGATGTTGATGTTGATGTTGATGTTGATGTTGATGTTGATGTTGATGTTGATGTTGATGTTGATGTTGATGTTGATGTTGATGTTGATGTTGATGTTGATGTTGATGTTGATGTTGATGTTGATGTTGATGTTGATGTTGATGTTGATGTTGATGTTGATTGATGTTCGAGTGGAAAGTAGGAAGATATACGAGTAGAAAGTAGAAAGAATATAGTAGAAAGAAAAGATGAAGATGAAGATGGAGATGGATAGAAAGAGAAGATGGATATTGTAGGTGGGCGTTTGAGGGGGAATGGGGAGGGGGGATGAGGGGTGAGGAGAGGAGAGGATATGAGGTGGTGAGGTTTGTTTGGAGTGAAGTGAAGTGAAGTGTAGTGGAGTGGAATCTGATGAGCCTGATATGTATGGATGGTATGATTGGTTTTTGTGGGGTAAATCGGGGCTAAGATGAATAGAGACTAGTATATTTCTATGTTTCTAATCCAAACAACCCGACCACATTCTATGGGGAGGTATGCAACCGACCAGAGAGAGCTTCATGATCTTATCTTTGTCTGTGCTAGAAATTTCGTTGTCGATAAGGTACCAAAGTCCGTCTGTGAGCATCGATATCGAAGTGAGGTGAGCGATGTTTTAAACATCTACTGGAGTAGAACGAAAAGCAAGTGCGAGCGCCACCCAAGAATAGCTTCCAAATTAAAGAGCAATACGGTACGCTTGCTATAGCATGTTCCCGAGCTTCTTATCTTCTACAGTACCGGTACCGGTACCGTGGCTTCGATTTATATTAGTTCTTTTTCGTCGAATCCCATTACTCATAGTCTAGTCTATGTTGATTTCAAGTTTTCAATCATGCATGAAGATTCTTCGACGCAGTACCGTTTCATGAGATCTCAGCATGGTCTTTTGGGGGTGGGACCTTTGGCTGTAAGGCTGGATTCACGGTTGTGATACCGGTGTGGCCATTTGGGATGCGGTGATTAGGGGATAGCCTTAGGAAAGTCGGGGTTGACTGGGTGGGATGGGATGGGCTCTTGTGTTGTGCTCATGTTCGAAGGTTGGGAGTGCAGTGTGTGTGGAGGAGATCACGTCTTGGGATTTACCAGTTTAGCTGGGACAATCACGTAAGAGGCATCCACTATTCTATGATGAATTGTCGGGAAATAGGTCAATGCTAGTGTGGAATCTTATCTGAATTTACCCCTTCCCCGAATCAATGGTGCTTCATGTAAGTCTGGGAATCGCTGCGATCACTTTTCTTATCTTAGTCTCTTAGTCTTAGTGCGTAATAGGGAAGTCCCATCACTGAATGACTTATATACAATGTATCCTTTAGATCTTTTCTCGTCAGACCGTTGATCGATCTCCATGCCTGCATGTCCTCCCTTAAACAAGAAAAGTCGGCTGGCCCAACGGTACGCAGCTATGAAACTGTGTCAAATAATCAAGATTCAAATCCTAAGATGGAGGATGTCAATGCTAGTAGTCGAGATATAACGGATGGAATTTCCATAGTTCGAATTAGATAGAATCCCGGTACGGATGTGAAGGAAAGACTCTTACAATGGGGTTGGTTTACATATTTATCAATACATCGTCAACAAGCTTATTCAGAGATAAATCCTAATTACCCAGAGGATTCAAAGAAGTCCAAGATCTTGGATAGCGGAAGCTTTGACGATGATGATGTTTATACAGTCAATGCAGCGGAGAATTCTCCATATCCACTGGCAGAGATTCGAGCCGCAGTCAAAAACTATGATGAAGATGTACCCGCAAACAACATTCGTACATGGATAATCGGGATGTTAATTGTCGTCTTCGGAGCATCGATGAACACACTCTCTTTACTTCGATCCCCTTCAATCAGTCTCGGTTCTTTGATTGCTCAAATTATTACTTGGTCTCTAGTTCATGTCATGGATGGACTAAAGACTAAAGTCATGCCCAAGAGTCCATTTCAACACGATTGGTTTGAAATTGAAATGGTCGTTGAATCCTGCACCGTACAATATCAAGGAGCATTCCATCATTGTCGTCATGGTAAGTATAAGTCTTAGTGCGGCATATGCGACCAATATTTTCCTCGCACAAATCGCTTTCTATAAGCAAGACTTTGGTCTAGTTTTCCAGGTGCTCTTGGTTGTTTCGACTCAATCCATTGGTTATGTATGGTATCGCTGGTATGTTGCGCAAGTTCTTGGTGTAGGCTCAAGCTCAAGCAAGCTCTACAATCAGTAATCCCCTATTCTAATGGCTGTTTGTTGCCTTATACTCAGTGCGGCTGTCCCGCAGCTACAGTATGATCTGGCCTGCCAATCTCGTCAGCGTCACCCTCATGAATGCTATGTATAAGAATAACGAAAAGTCTGATCCAATAGTCTTTGTGGGTAAGATTCATCGTTATAGATGGTTTGCATATGTTAAAGTTACTGCCGGTGCTTTCTATTGGGACTTTGTTCCTGGGTTTCTCGCTCAATTCCTCTCGGTCTTTACATTCGCAACCTTGATTGCTCCTAATAATGTTGTCGTCAATCAATTATTCGGTGGTTCGACGGTCTTTCGTTCATTCCATTGATGTTTGATTGGACTCAGATTACTGGTTTTATTGGTAAGTCCTATGATTCCTCCATAAGTATTTTCTCCCTATTTGTGTACATTATGGCAGTCTATATCGGAGTTTTCAATAAAAAATTCTTCTTATATCTGGAGAACTGTGGATCTCTCAATGAATTCGAGGTTTCCAACGAACTAATTCTTCTAAGTCAATCAAAATGGTCAAAAGAATCTATGATTTATCTTCAAAACAAAAGTTTTCTCCAAAAGCCTCCAACAGTCTCAACAAACTCCGAATAGACTGCTGTAGTATCTAGCATCAATCACTAATACATAAAATCGATGGATGGCACGCAATTGCCAATACACTTACTTACTGGCGCAGTCTCATCCTACATGATCGGCGCATCAATCATTCATTACTCAAGCATGGGGTTGGTGTTGGTGTTGGTGTTGTATATTCATATATATTCTCTTTTCTTCGAATGAAAGTAAGATTATATATATATCGAAACTTATTAGATTACTACGAATAGATTAGATAGATGACTCAAATTAGCAGAGAAGAAGCAGAGAAGAAGCAGAGAAAGAACCGCACTCGGATGTATAATTATTATATCATTATATCATTATATCATTTTGTTTTTCATACCAACTGTTAGTAGTGGTATATGTAATATTTGTACTCGTATACTGAGTATACTATATATATATCTATCTACTCGAGTAATACTCGAGTAATAATATACTTGTAATATACTGCAATATGATCAAGTTTACTACTAACCGACAAACAAGTAGCTACTGTAGCGAGCTATTCATTTCTCTTCTCTTCTCTTCTCCTCTTCTCCTCTCTCCTCTCTCCTCTCTCCTCGTTTACGAGGGCTTTTTTAAGGGGGAATACTTCTAGAGATATTTTCAAAGGGGACTCAAGACAAAGTACTCCAACCCTCATACCCCAACCCAGTCAATCCAATTAGTTTCCGAGTCAAAGACTCAAGTTGTCAAATCACTCTCCTTTCAAAGACCTGTTTAGAGTCATTATACTCGACTCCAGTATATTAAAACTTCAAATTTATGAATATTTCTGGCCGAAAATCAATAATATACCTAGGTATGTATCAAAGGGTATCTATCATTTTCCTGCCTGCCTATCATAGCTACCTAGTATGCTTGTTCCATTTTACCCCTTCTCCTTGCCCCTGCCCCCCCCCCCCCCCCCCCGAGCCCCATTTTACACATTGCCTTGTGAATGGTTACCGTTGTTTTGTTCCCTTTCCTATATATACATACAATACAATACAACACCATTACCAATACAATACCAATACAAACAAGAAATCTTTTCCGTCTTCCCAACATCCGGATATCAAAACGCCTTAGATTCTTTTCAGGAAAACAGTCCCAACGTAATATCAATGAATGAACCTCACACACCCTACCCTTCTCTCAAACAGCCGGAGCCGTGGACGGAGCCGCAGCCGCTTTCTTCTCTTTATCCCTCTTCTTCCATTCCTGTCTAATTCTCACTGCCGCAGAAGTTAAATCCTTCTCGGTAACCCTATCCCTAATACTTTCAATGACGCTCTCCACCGTACTCGTATGATTTGCATTTTCCTTATCATCTCTAAATTTCATAAATCGCCACCTCTTCTGCGCATCCATGTAACATTCGACAATGCGATCCTGCAGGGGCTCTTGCAGCTGCTTCAACTTATCCCATTCCTCGGGCTCTAGATGCATCGTCGCGTACCATTCATCTTTATTGTTTCCCGCGTGGTCTCGGCCGGCGTGAACCCAGAGATTGCAGATGGGGATGGCGTCGTAGTCGATGTAGGGTTCGGTGCTGCCTTCGGCGAGATCCATGGAATCGGGTTGCGCGGTGGGGAAATCGAGAGATAGTTTGAAATCGATACTATTCTCATTCTCCGGTTTCCATTTTAAAATGTGTTGATCGGTTCCATGTTTATATTCCGTACTCCTGCATGTGAAAATCAAGCCATCATTTCCATGCGGCAACTGTGGTAGGATTTGTCGAAACATCATTTCCAACGCATAACTGAATTGCATCTGTTTCAGCTCCATAAGAAAACTCATAAACTCTTTTTCTTCAGGGTAGTCTTTCAAAAGTTCCTGATAAGGTGAGAAGATCCTTTCGCTGAAATATGCAAGTCGTTTGTCGAGTGTGCGATTCATAAGACTGTTTCCATCCAGCACCATACAATCAAACACCAAATATTTCAATTGCGTTCCCCCATTTGGAAGGTTATCCAAGACCAATTCTCCATCAATCAAGGTATTTGTGTGAAATCCAGAGACGTCTCGAGGGATAGGGAAATGGAGTCCTCCTTTGGGTATATACCAGAAATCATTCCTCCTATCGATCAAATAATGGCATTCCTGACGGTTTTCATCATCGGTAAGGTAGAGTAAGTAACGAAAACCATCAGATTTCTCGCAGACGTAATAATCCTGTCGCATCAATTCATCGAGATGACGTCTAGTAAAACTGACGGGTTGTGCGCCGGGGAAACTTGGGTTCGTACGATTAAGCAGTTTGGCTACCTCTTTTCGCATGTTATGTAATACTTCGCCATGGGCTTGGATTCCTGGTGCTTGAATATCGGTAACGGGACCACTCATTTTTGGTAGATTTGAGGGTGGAATTGGATGGATGTAGATGATAAGAGCTGTGGGTAGCTGGGTTTGTACTATAGCCGGTAGATGGTAGATAATATAAGTTCAATCGGATTGGGCGTTTGTTGGAATTTTTAATGTTTTCGTAAGGCTGAAGATCGGCATTTAGGTTAAAATATTGGCCGACACCGACATACCAGCAGCATGCTAGGGGGAAATATTGACGGATTACTAGATTTCTTCTTAGATATTGAAGAATACCCTTTCATACTATTATTTTACATCTTTGACTTTCTCTATTGAAAGCAGACACTAAGATATCATTAAAAGAGATGGTGGTCACATATCACCATCACATCTCACCAGAATTCTAGTTTCCCTTTTCTGTTTTGAAGTTCCTAGCCCATGATGAACTATTCATATGAGGACCATCCAGTTCCCCTGAGACAAAGGTGTTTCTGCCGAATAGATCAATGCCCGCTGAGGCCACTATTGCTGAAGAACCGCTCATAACCAGGAGTTTCTTGAAATTTCTTGGAATTTTGCCTTCCAGCCGATGTCTTCAAATCCACAATCGGCAAATCTGTATTGATCAGGGGGCAACGAAAGTCAACCGAACATTGTCAATGTCATGAAAGTCGTCCATGTAAGTATACCGTTAATCCTGCGAGGTAATATTGATGACCAGGCCTGTTTGTGGGTGGTTTGACTATTCATCACTGCAAATTTGATGGGAATAGCTGTGGATGTCTTTCAAGAACATGTTCGAAAAGAAGCCGCACACTATGCCAAGATTCGCAGCAAGCAGTGGTGGACTGGAAGTTTCATTAGAAGCGAATTGAAACAAGATGTGGTGTGTTGTGAAGTACGAGTAATTTACTTCAAGCCATATTCTAGTACCTCGATTGCATCCGAACATCATTTTGCCATTTGCCATCTGCCATTTGCTATACAAACACTATTTCCCTATACTTCTCACTTACTTTCCATCATCCATCCATCCATCCATCCATCCATCCATCAACAACCACCCCCTCTTCGATTTTCGGCTATCAATATTCAACTAACCATACCACTCATCCACCCACCCACCCATCCATCAACGGCCCGTACCGACGTCCATCCCGTCTCTTCTACAGCCACATCCATCCCAGAACATAGCACCGAAACCCCTGTTATGCCCTCGTACTCAGTATAACTTTTATATCTTCGAGCTCCTACAACTCGCGAGGACGATAACATATCATTTCTCTCAAAATAGTATTAATTCTCAATACAACATCGTCGCACAAACCACAATCCCATTCTCTCCATACAGATACAGCGTGACACAAAACAAAACCTCATGCTGATTATCCATCCCAAATTACTCGTACTTGTCTTAGCATCAAGATAATAGGTAAGATATAGATAGATAATATAATCTGATATGATACAATAGTTAATACTCTCATCTCGTACCGGTATTCCCATTCTCACAGTTCATTCTTCTCGTTTGTAAGAATGTTATAGAGGATTTTTACGAAGTTTCGTGAGTTTGGAGTGTGAATGGGTGCGAATGAAATGAATTGGACTGAAGTGGACTAGATATATGATGATAAAAAAAGAGTGAAGAGGGATGGATAGGGGATCGGTTATGGGTTATGGGTAATAGTACTCGAGTAGTGAGCAATGGGTAGTGGGCAGTGTAGACCGTAGGTGTATATCAAGCTAATGAGATAAATGATGAGATGTTGAAACAAGGTACTCGAGTATATAGAGTGAGTATGACGTTAGAAATTCATTTTGCTACAATATAATATTTGTAATTCTTGAAGATTATACTTTGTATAGATTACTCGAGTATAAAGATATCAAATCAATACATTTCATTGACGTTATTTCAACCGATCAATTTATTAATCAAGTATGCTATATATTATCTCATCTCACCATCTCATTTCTATACCATTTATTATCTCCTTACTAAAACTCCCAACCCATACCCTACAACATGCACCTCCCCTCTCTTCTCTCCTCTCTTTTCCTCTCTTCTCTTCTTCTCTCCATCCAAACCTTATTCGTTTTTTATCTTTCCCCCAAGTTTTACAGCTGGTCTTCATCTTCATCTTCATCTTCATCTTCATCTTCATCTTCGTCTTCGCTCTCCATACTCTCTACTCTACTCTACTCTACTCTACTCTACTCTCCATACATTATATCTTTATTATAATCTTATATCTCATATTCTACTTGAGTACTTGAGTATAATTTATATTACTCATATACCTTCCCGCTCCGCTCTCAGCCTCCTCCCCCTTATTCCCTTATTCATACGCGAGCACGCGAGCTAAGTAAAACAAATCAATCTAGTACTCGAGTAAACGAATTAAATTATATTTAATATTTAATATCTATCTAGTAATTATATACTCGTATACTCGTATAGACACATAGGTATAACAATTACACAATCTTCAATCTATAATCAAGATATACTTTTCGAATTCTCAGATTCCAGATTCCAGATTCGAGATTCGAGATCCAAGGTTTCTATAGATATAATAAATATATTAGATGCCACTGGCAATATAATTACAATAACAATCTTACAATCTGCTAGCTAAGTATACATATCTATTCTTCATTTTCATCTTTACTTCACTCATCGCCTTCCCTTTTTAGAATATTATCACTGCTACTACTACCACTACCACTTATCACAACTACTACTTTCTTTCCCTTCAAGTTATTCCCCTTCTTCCAAGTCCCCTTATTTCCCTTCTCCCCCTTTTTCCTTTCTCTTTCTTTTCTCTCTATTTCTACTACTACTACCACTACTACTACTTTCTCTCTCTTCTTTGCCTTATCTTTCCCTTCCTCTCTTTTCTCTGTCTTTCCCTTAACCCAATTCAAAAAAACCAAATCAAATAGAATCAAATAAAAAATAATACGAGTAATTATACTATTGTTCACCACTTCTATATCTCATATACACTAAACACACTACACCACATCAAGCAAAATCAAATCAAATCAAATCAAATATACTCTACACACTACACATCTTATATACACTAAGCACACCATATCAAACCAACCCCCCTATACATTGCATCACACCAATCCAATTCAACCCAACTCAACCCAGCCCAACCTCATCCTCCCCTCTCCCTTCTTCTTTCTCCCTTATCCTCTCCTCTCCTCTCCATCTCCTTTATTTCTTTTTCCTTCTCTCTTCCCCCCAGATAAACCTAGAGATATATATACTCGTATATACATCCATCCCCCATCCATTATCCCCCATTATCTACCATCCATCATCCACCTTCCACATTCCGTATCCACTCACAAAATAACAATACAATTTTTGCGACACTAGTGAATGTGGTCACGTGATATCGCGTCAAAGCGCGATGCCCATATAGGCCTCCCCGCTCTCGAAGTGGGAATAGCCTAAAAACCAACTTTAATACAATACTTTTTGACCATATTGTATAGCCATTTCACCCCCGAGGTGATACCAACAGTATATGCATATAAAATAACAACCGTACATACTCGTACATACGAACACCATTCATTCACCACCCCATGAAAATGCAAATGCCAATGTCAATCTTTCAAATCAAGTCCAATCCCAACCAATCCCATCCCAACCAATCCCATCCAATCCAATCCCATCCCATCCCATCTTTTCCATTCCATTTAATCCCCCTATTACAATCATCACACTATACAAGTCCCACTTCACGACATTAAATCAAAAGTCCAACTTCAACCCTTTATCCCTCAACAATTTATCCGCCAGAATACTCAACGAATCAGCGGCTACTTTAGCCGACGGAGAAGCGCGTGTTGGGAAGTCGACCAATGCAACTCTCAGTGCTGCAACCGCTTGAACTCCATACAGATCGATGAATCTCTGTTCCCAACCCTCGATCAAGGATCGTAAAACCGTGTATTGTGTGGATGAAGCTTCTTGAGCGGGTGTGGACACAATACTTGCGACCGCCCTCCAATAATATGTTGGTGGCCAAGGATTCGTAAGTCTTGTTTTGGAGAAATCCCGTAATGAAATTGCAGCATATCCTGCTGCCAATCCAACCATCCTATTGCTATGTGATTGATCATCGATCCAACCACTCTCCGTTCTTTGCCATCCTATTCGAGCCCTCCCTTCTTCTGTCTTTTCATTTCCACGGATACCGAAGACTGTAGGTATTGAAACACGCATTTTTGCCATTAGGATATCGATTAATGAAGAACCTCTCCATAAGAATGCGTCTCGGGCAAATATTGAAACGGCAACGACACCAATTGGATCGGCGGTTTCTGGTCGAACACTTGCTTCATTTATGAATTGAGACACGATGGCTTTCGCGAAAAAGTTGAGGAGGTAAATAAAAAGAGAGGGAAGTTGATCTCCATTATTCTGGGCCCCTTCTACCGGATTTGGTTTCGATATCATATAATTACTCGGATCAATTCCTGGAGATTGAAGTTTGTGGAGGGATTGTGCGAGCAATTCATGGATTTTGTTGATCTACGAAATTTAGTGGGAGTTCATGTTGAGAATATTGATATTAACTTACACACTGCTTGTTTGCACCTTTTTCTGAAGTCAATTGTCCAACCGTTTGTCGAAGTGATCTTCGCATATCTCCTAACATCTTCTTGAATTCTATATTTCGTTTTCCTTCCGCTACCAAGTACTGTCGTAATTCTTTGAGGTTCTTATGAATTTGGGCATAACGTTCGACACCTGGTATTATATGATCATTGGAAGAGGACGAAGATTGCCAGGTACCTGAAGGTTGTTGTGGCGGTGGAGGAGGAGGTTGAAAAAGTGATTGCTTCGGGGGTTGTTGGGCATTCGAAAAGCCATTTGTTTGCCGTGGGGGTTGAGGCTGAGGTTGAGAAAGGCCCTTGGGTTGCTGAGGAGGGTTATTTTGTACAAATGCATTCGTTTGTTGCTTCGGCGCGCCGAATAACCCCCCAGATGCCTCTTGCTGGTGTTGTTGCTGTTGCTGAGCAGGTGGTAACTGAGTCCGAGGTGGATCTGAAGCCGTTTGAGCAGGAGTTGGAATTGGTGCAGCTACTGGTGGAGGGGTAGGAGGTTTTGGTGGAACGATAGGTATTCTTCTCGCCGCTTCTTCTAATTCCCTTCTTTTAAGTTCTACCCCTGCGGTCTGCCTCTCCGTCTTGACGCGCTTTTCCTCGATTTTCAACCGGATTTCCTCAATTCGCAGACGTTCTTCTTCCACTAAGATCTTATGATGGGCTTGAAGTTGTTGTTCTTGCATGAGAGTAATCTGAAAGATCCGCATGGCTTCATTTCGAACCCTTTCATGCTCAAGTCGCGCAGCTTCGAGAATTCCATGGTGTAGTTCCTCTGCATTTCGATTTTCGAATCTTATATCGTGATCATAAACTGAAGGTACTGGTATGAAATTAGAGCTTCTTCTTAAAGCATCTTCTTCAATAAAAGAAGATTGACTGGGAGCCATTGTTCCGTTTGCAGTAGCATAAGAAGTGTAAGAGATTTCGGAAAGATTCGAGAGAAAGTTGGTATGAGATTGTACAAGAAATTGAAGATATTGAAAGCCGAAGATGAATGAATAAATTTGGAAGTGATACTTGATCACATGATGCTAGTTTTGCCAAAGGCGGTGTGTAATAGGTTCCTTGAAGCTGCAGTGGGTAGTGAGTGGTGGTGTGCATGGACAGGGATTTTATAAGCAGGGATTAATAGAACGAGAGGATGGTTTTCTAAATTTAAGTGGCTTGGGCGGGCATTGATCTTTTTAATTTGTCCATGACTTAATTATTGAATGAGGGAGGGGACGAGAGGTAGAGGAAGTAGAGAAAATAGAGGAAGTGGAGGAGGGAGGAGTGGAGGTAGAGAAGTTAGAGGGGGAGGTTCAAGCACAAGAGGGGGAAGAGGGGTGGAAGGGGGGAGAATTGAATTTTAGGAGCTATTATTTTCTTTTCCTTTCCTTTCTCTTCAATGACTCAAGAAGCTTTATTAACCTTAAAGCTATCTCCAAGTAGGTAAGTATTAAATGAATTCCTGGAGAAGAGGGACAAAAAAGGGAACAAGGAACAAGGAAACAAGGAAATAAACAAAACTATCGACCTAGTACCGGTACCGGTACACTCCTCTAATGAGAAAGTCACTTCTGAAGTCTCCATGGAAGTTGTCGTCAATGTTGTGATTATCTTATCAGATACTCTTGTATTTATTGGATGTGATACGAATGAAAGAAGAAAAACTACAAAGACTACAACAACAACAACAGATGGAAACCCCCATTTATCATTCACCATTCCTAATGATTTCGTTTCATAATCTTTTCAAACCATGACCTTTTCTTTGGGTCAACATGGAGTATGGGAGGTACTTACTTTCATAGTTACTGGGCTAGAGGGGTGATCGTGCGTAGTTCATTGTTATGAAGCATTTCCAGGGAACAGAGTGGAATTGAGGACTCTGACAGAAGAGGTGTAATAACAAGTAAGCAAAGGCTTATTTTGTTGTTCAGCTTAAAAGGGAGTTGAAAGGAATCAAAATCATCATAATCAATGGACAATTCCGAATAATCAACAATCAACAATGATCGGTCTGAACTATAGCAAATTTACTATAAGGAGATTTAATTCGTTAATTCTTTCAACTATCTTCTTTCATCATCTAGACAAACTTTGCTATATACCGTTAGATAATACGGAAATGGCTAAACTAGACTGGAAGCATAATTACAAGATACTAACTGTACTGAGGTATAGAGTTTACTACCGGTACCAGATGAATTTATATCTGTCTAAACACTTGTAGAATACGGAGAACATACTTAGTACAATGTACTAAGAATATACAAGCATTCCAATACTCGAGTATAATAAATCATTAACCTCTCAGAAAACCACTTCAATTCTGTAATAATCCATTGATATCATATCACATCACTTTTATCACTTAGTTTGAAACTTCAATCCAAATGAAATTCTATGTGACGCTTAATCCGGATTTCACGGCCATCAAATCCACCAAAGCGTACTCCGTACTTTCGTAAGGTTACTAGGTACAGACAGGTACAGGTACGGCAAAAGCTGCACCAAGCATCATCATCTCAAGCATCTCAAGATTATAATACAAGTGCTTGTACCTAATGCAGTAAGTAGTATTCACAACCGACCCCAATTCTTCAATCAAGAACCCAACCAACCAACCCAACAACTGATACATTTCCCTTCTTCTATTTCCCACTCCCACTCCCACTCCAACTCCACACATTTCATTTTTGACATCTCTCAATCATCAGAATTCAAAAAACCACAATTCATTACTCTTCTTACCTCCACTCCCTCTCACACTTTCTCTCCTTCCTTATTACCAAAAGATTCAAGATCCATTTGTCTGTTAAGATTAACTTACAAGTTTTTAAATCGTCACAAGAAGTCTCACAAAAGATAACAAGCTACTACAACAGCACAAACTAAACTCAAGGGCCTCGGGAGCTATCAAGGAATCGGCATCCTCGAAAACCTCGAGAATCACTCCTTCATCTACCTATGAGCTATTCAATCAATTACTAGGTACTTTCAACCTTATTACTACGGAGCGCAACCAACTACGCAACCTTAAAATCGCCTCCCCAGCTACCAAACAAGACACAACATCAATCAAGCCAACTTTACCACAACCACATACCGGTATCTCAAAGAGACCTTCAAATCCCCTCCTTTGCTTACAATTCATTTTCTTTTGATATTACAATCATTTCTATTGATTTGATTTGTATATCAATTCAGACATTCAGATATAATACTGTACGCAAAAATTGCATATCTCACTTCCTCTCTCCCTCCCCTCATTCTCTCCCCCCCACTCCTCTCTCTCTTTCTAATCGTCATCGCACACTCGAAGTTCAATCAAATCTCTCCATCATGGAGCAACAACAGCAAGTCCAACCTCAAGGTGGTGTACCCGGTCCAACTGGACGAAGATTACATATTGCGCATCGAAGAAGCCCTTCAGAACTTACTCCGTTGATGAGTATGTTCTCTTCCCCTGGTAGTAAGTTATCATCATATTTTTTTGCTTCTTCTCATGCTCCGAAGTTTGGTGACGTATAAACCTCATTCATCATGGTATCCGGCAATCAATAATATCACTCAACATAGAGCAATAAATCATTGGGTTATTACTTTCATGGTAGAACCCATCCCGGAATCATGGCACAATCATTTCAATACAGTATGCTAATCATCTCGTCTCTTCACAGTGGAACAATTGGCTATTCAGCAACAGATTGAGCTCTTACAACAACAGCAACAACAAATTCAAGCTACACATCAACAATATGTCAACATGGGAATCATTCCCAATCAACACCTTGCTGGCCCTGGCCAAGGTTTCAATCCTTTACAACAACAACAAATGCAAAATCAAAATGCGTTTCAATTTTCCAATCAATTACAACCACAACAGATGAATGTACCCATGGGAGCTCCAACACAGCCACTGTCACATCGTCGTAATCAATCGGCAATTCCAAATATGGGTATGGGAGGTCCACCACCTGCTCCATCTTCAGGTACATCTGCTCAAGGCTTTACTCAAGACTTTGGTGGAAATAATCCTCGTGGTGAGAATCAATCTACAAGGGGTGGTCGTGGTGGTGGACCTCCAGGTGGTGGACATCAAAGACGTCATTCTCTTGCTTTACCTGAAGCCAAAAAGGCAGCTGAAATCGCACAGCAGAAGAGAACTACTTCTGGATTTCAATTTCCTATACCTGGTGCAGGTGGTGCTACATCAACTGGTGGTGAGACTGGAGATAATGTCAGTCCTGCAGAGGATAAGCCTACCCAAAGTACCGGCAATCATTTGACACCCAGCTCTGCTACGCGTGGTGGTCGTGGTGCTCATGGTAGAAGTCAAAGTATGGCTGTTGGAGGTGGTCAAAATGGTAGAGGTGGATCTACTCAACGGGGTGGTGGCTCATTTCAATTCCCACCAACACAAGGATCTACAGATAACGGAGCAGGCCAGAATAACGACTTTGCGAGAAGAAACAGTTCTCAAACCGGACATGCTCGTGCCTCTTCTCGAAACTTTGATGGTAACTGGAGAAATCAAGTACCTCAAAATGCGGCTCCTCAAGACCCACAACCACAAATGGGTAACTTTCAAGGCCAACAAAGCCAAGGTAGTTTCCAACCAGGACACCGAAACCGTGGATCCATTAATCAGTCCATGAGCAACATCGGTGGATTTCAATACCAAGGTCAACCTCAATTGGTTCAACTTCCTCAAGGACAGGTGATCATTCCTCAAGGTTTGTACCCCGGTCAACAATTGAATCCTTTGCAGCTTAGCCAGCTCCAAGCATTACAAGCTGCTCAAATGAACGGGCAAATGGGTATTCAAAATAATCAGCACGCTCCACAACTTAATGCTCAACAGCAACAACAGCAACAACGTAAAACCTTGTTCACCCCCTATCTTCCACAGGCAACCCTTCCAGCGCTTCTTGGCGATGGTCAGCTCGTTTCGGGTATTTTGAGAGTCAACAAGAAGAATCGTTCTGATGCTTACGTCACTACTCAAGATGGCTTACTTGATGCTGATATTTTCATTTGCGGTAGCAAGGATCGCAATCGGGCTTTGGAAGGAGATCTTGTTGCTGTTGAATTATTGGATGTTGATGAAGTTTGGGGACAGAAGCGTGAAAAGGAAGAAAAAAAGAAACGCAAGGACATCACCGATACAAGGACCGGTGGATCGAACAATGGAAACAATGACCGAAATCACCACCGCGATAATTCTACAAACGGAGATGATCAAAATCAAGATGGTGGAATTAGAAGACGTGGAAGTTTGAGACAGCGACCAACTCAAAAGAAGAATGATGATGTTGAAGTCGAGGGTCAAAGTCTCTTGCTTGTTGAAGAAGAGGAAGTCAACGATGAACAGAAACCACTTTACGCTGGTCACATTGTTGCAGTCATTGAACGTGTCGCCGGACAGATGTTCTCCGGTACTCTTGGTCTCCTTAGACCTTCCAGTCAAGCTACCAAGGAAAAGCAAGAAGCCGAACGTCAAGCTCGCGATGGAAATTCCGGACGTCACCAAGAACAACGCCAACAGGACAAGCCAAAGATTGTATGGTTCAAACCTACCGACAAGCGTGTTCCATTAATCGCCATTCCTACCGAACAAGCCCCACGTGATTTCGTCGAGAAGCATCAAGATTATGCCGATCGTATCTTTGTTGCTTGCATCAAGAGATGGCCAATTACCTCTCTTCATCCTTTCGGTACACTGGTTGAACAACTTGGAAAGATGGGTGAATTGAAGGTTGAGACTGATGCCCTTCTTCGTGATAATAATTTTGCTTCTGATGAATTCTCAGACGCCGTTACACGTAGTGTTGGTCTTGATGATTGGTCTTTGGAAAAGGAAGATGAAACATCTCTTTCCACTAGACGTGATTTCCGAGAGGAGAAGACCTTTACCATCGATCCAAATGGTGCGAATGAATTGGATGACGCTATTCACGTGAAGACTGAAGCCGATGGAAAGATCGAGATTGGTATTCACATTGCTGATGTTGCTCATTTCATCAAGGCAAACTCTCTGGTCGATAGAGAGGCACGCAAGCGTGGAACTGCTGTCTATTTGATGAACAGATCTTGTGCTATGTTACCGCCAAGGATCTCTTCTGATATTTGTTCTTTGACCCCAGGTCAAAATCGTCTTACAGTCTCAGTCGTTTTCAAGGTTAACCCTCAAACCGGCACTGTATTCGAGGACGAGACATGGATCGGAAAGAGTATGATCAAGAGTGGTGGAAAGTTGACATATAAGGATGTCGATGCTGTACTTTCTGGTCAAACCGATATCAAACTCGAGGGTGCTGAAGTAAAGGATATTCAAATCCTCAATGTGAGTTTTCCTTTCACGACCCCGTTTCTGACAATTGCTAACATACCTAGGCCGTTGCTCAAAAGTTCCGTGAAGCCCGTCTTGGCTCAGACGGAGAGACCATTGCACCATTAAGACTTGTCTATCAATTGGATGATGAAAACGTTCCAGTTGAACAGAACATCTTTGATTCTACTCCATCTCACGAATTGATCGAAGAATTGATGAACAAGGTCAACTCTTACGTCGCACAAAAGATCTTTAAAGGTCTTCCAGAAAAAGCACTCCTTCGTCGACAAGGACCACCAAATTCAAGACGTCTTCAAACACTGTCTGATCGTATGAACAAGATTGGTTACGAAATTGATACTTCAAGTAGTGGACGTCTTCAAAATAGTCTTTTCAAGGTTGATGATACCAGTATTCGTAAGGGAATGGAAACTCTCTTGGTCAAGTCCATGCATCGTGCCAAATACTACATCGCTGGAAAGACCCAACCACATCTTTACCCTCATTACGCTCTCAACTTACCATTATACACTCATTTCACCAATCCATCTCGCCGTTACGCAGATTTGGTTGTCCATCGTCAACTCGAAGCTGTTCTTTCTGAAGGCAGGATTGAATACAACGAGGATATCGAAACTCTCGTCAAGACCACTGAATCTTGCAACACAAAGAAAGATTCATCTCAAAATGCTCAAGAACAAAGTGTTCATATTGAGTCATGTAGGATTATGGACAGAAAACGTGAAGAAGCTGGTGGTGAACTTATTAGTGAAGGTATCGTTGTTTGTGTTTATGAATCTGCGTTCGATGTTCTTATTCCAGAATTTGGTTTCGAAAAGAGAGTTCATTGTGATCAACTTCCACTTAAGAAGGCCGAATTCAGAAAGAATGAGAGAGTTCTTGAGTTGTACTGGGAGAAGGGCGTCCCATCTTCCGCATATGTTCCAGAGGATGAACGTCCAAAGGCCGGTGCATCTCAAAGAACTACGAACGCTGCTGCCGCTGCCAAGCAAGCCGCTGTTGCCGAGAGAGCCAAGAAGGAACATGAAGAGGCTCAACGAAAGGCAATGGAGACTGGAACTATTTCAACTGATGATGTTGATGCTTTATTCGATGATGACGATGATGCTTCCGACATCGCTGGTAGTGTTGCTGGTGTCTCTCTTGCTGAACGTCCAACTCAAAGTGTTCCACCATCTCCAACCAAGAGCTCAATGTCACTTGCTACCAACCTTTACCGAACTCGTTCCGAGTCAAAGGTACCAACTAGTGAATCTATTGAAGCTAAGCTTAGTGCTAAGGAGAAGTACTTGAAGTTTTTCACCCTTCGTGAAGAAGATGGTGAATATATTCAAGATGTCAAGGAAATGACAAGAATACCGGTTATTTTGAAGACTGATCTTACCAAGAGTCCCCCGTATGTTTACTTTCCACTCTAACTCTACTTGACACCCAACTAATAACCTTTTAGATGTCTCACGATCAGATCTCTCAACCCTTACGCACTTTAAATGACAATTTAACAACTCATCTCACCCAAACATCTTTGAGGTTTTGATATAATGTTGAATTTGCTCGAGTCTCTGCCAAGAGGAATACATCTCATGGATTATGAAGTATCACAGAGGAAATACGGTTCGTGTTCCCTCCATCGATAATGCCGACCAAGGATTTCTTCCTGAAAAGTTTTATTGTCAGATTGTCATATTGATGAACAAGACTTGGACTGGGTACGAAAGGTGGATGAATGGATGAAGGAATAATTATTGAGGAGGATCAAATGGGGTATTGTTTTACTTAAATACCGTGAAAATTGAATGTGATTGGAACGAGAAATGGAAAGGAAATAGGATGAAGGAAGAAACTGTAGTTTTTTCTTTTGGAAGATGATATATCGGATGAGAGTGGGATCCAGGCTCGAATATGTTTCCTTTGCTCTTTAGCGTTTCTGTATCACAAACGTTTATAGTTTTTAGCGGAAAGAAATAAAATTATACAGATCTTATCTTTTGAGGGAGTTTGTGTTCTTGTACGCAAACTACACTACCTCTTGTTATACCTACCATGACGATGTTATCAAGTCAAGCAGCGTGAGTTCCAAGCTGTACCTCCCTCCCCCTTGATCGACAACATGGATCCTTGGTTTTGGTAATCCTAGTTATAATCCTACTTCCAATCCGATTCCGAGTCCTAACCCAACCCACATCCTAATTCTAAATCCAAATCCAAATCCTATAACGATATTCGATATTCGAACGTGTCGGAAGCACGGGGGAGGCGGGGGTTGGAATTAAATGTTGCATATTTAGGTACATCGTAGAGAGGAAGGAGTACTTAGGTAGGAGTATTTGGGTAGGAAGGAGAGGAAAGGAGAGGAAGGAGTACCTTTTGATGAGGTAGGTATTTGTTGATGTTGAGAAGTACCTCGAAGTTCCAAGTTCCAAGTTCGAACACAAGCATTTGTCTGTGCGAGTGCTGGTTGAACTTGAACCTCAATATCTTGCCATTAATGTACGATTATGATGAAATACCGGTTTTTTGGGTTTGCAATAAAGTTCGCATTAAAGTTCGCATTAAAGATGTTGGATTAGTTCTTCAACGGATTAGAAATCATCCGTAGGTAGCGTAACGCCGCTGCCGGAATGCAATGTGGGTGGTGGATGTGTGGATGTGTGGATTACAAAGTATTATTTCCATTACCTTGCATTATCATGTCTATCAATCTTGCATCTACCGGGACAATATCCCATTCCTTCTTCAATGCGAGTGCAAAGAAATCTTTGAATTCTCGGCGCAAAGAAAAATAAAAAAACGTTCTCAGACGATATAGATCAGGGATTAGGAGGATACTTGACGTACCCGAAACGAATCTGATACGTCTCAATCCCAGTGCTAATCCACAACCGAGCGGATGGTTATTCTTCCATTATTCCTGAGCAATACCACTGCGGAATATATGAAATAAGCTTATTTCATTTACCGTTTTAAGGTTCGTTGACGAGGAATGTAGGGTCTTTAATTGGTGGTTGGAAAGGTTAATTACGAGGAACGGATGAAGGGGACCTGACATGAGACCAAGCCTTTAGTCAAGACTGTCAAGGTCACTTTTTTCGGACATTGATATTTCCTGGCCAAGACAAACGCCATGGGGTTTTTGCAACGAGCTCACGGGTGAAGTAACAGATCGTGGATCCGTAGCTTATCATATTTGTCTTGGTATTGTTGGGGGGGGGGGTAAGGGGGGTAGGTTTGTTATACATACATAATAGATGAGGTTCGTCGATTTTTCTTCTTCTTCTTGGGTTTTTGAATAGCGTCACTCTCATTACGAACGAGTTCTCTAATTTCAATTTTTCTTCAAGCGCTGGTTTGCTTTTATCTGGATATTCTTCATTCATTTTTTTTATAATTTACTTCTTTTTCATCGTAATTTTATATTATTCTTATTTAATTTTACAAAGTTGTAATAGCTCAGGCTGGTCTTGCATACATCTATTTTTTATTCGATTCAATACGATTCTAGTATTCTTCAACCTCGAAAACCAAAATATCAAACACATCAAACAAAATGCCAGGGTTTAAACAGATTATGGGAGCGGTCACGGTGGTTGGATTGGCAGCAATGGCATCAGCTCTTCCGGCATTACCAAAGCTTAACGAGAGAGCGTTGGAGATGTATGAGATTATGGAACGTCAGGTTACTGCAACAGGATTACCAGCAAATTTGACGGATGTGGATATTTTGCAATTGTATGTGTTTTTTTTCTCCTACCATTCCTTCATTTGATAGAGCGAAGCGAAAAAGCCTCCACGGCAGTGGCTCCCGGAGGGCCAGCGGAGCGTCATTCCTATTGATGGGGGCAGGCCCCCAAACCCCCATAGCTCGCTGCGCTCGAAAGCCCAGCGGAGCGTCGTTCCCTTTTTCATGTCTATTCCTATGACACAATTCATTTTATTACTGCATACAACTTCTCACCCTCAAACCCATACCCATCCAATAAAATACCAACTAACATCACCTCCAGCGCTCTCACACTCGAAAACCTCGAAACAGCCTTCTACCAACAAGGATTCGCCAAATTCCCCGACTCCGACTTTACAGCCATGGGCTTAACAGCCCAAGATATCACCAATCTCAAAATGGTCGGCATGACCGAAGCAACTCACGTCACCACTCTCATGACCGCCATCTCCGCAAGCGGCACTCAACCCGTCGCTCCCTGTACCTACAACTTCAATTTCACCACCGCCCAAAACATGATCGCCACAGCCAACGTTCTCGAAAACATAGGCGTAAGTGCCTATCTAGGCGCAGCACCACTAGTCGCCGATAAAGCGATCCTAACCGTCGCAGCCGAAATCGTCACCGTAGAATCTCGCCACCAAACCTTCATCCGCACCGCACAAAAAGTAGCCGCCGTCCCCTCCGCCTTCGACACCCCCCTCGGTATCCGCAACGTTTTCTCCCTCGCAGCACCCTTCATTCAGGCCTGTCCCCAAGGCTCAAATCTAGCCGTGACGCCCTTCCCAGCGCTAACGATGACGACCCCCGGTGAAGCCATGACTGCTGGATCAACGCTGCAGTTGACGAGCGCCGCGCAGGGGGCTACGGCTTGTGCGTTTACAAATGGTGGTCAGACTGGTGGAACGGCTTTCACGCCGTTTGCTAATGGTGCCTGTACGGTGCCCCAGGGTTTGGCGGGTGATACCTATTTGAATTTGGCGAGTCAGTTGCCGGCGACGGGGGTTTTGACGGATGATATTACGGTGGCGGGGCCGTTGGTGCTGCAGATTTCGTAGGGGTGAGGTTGTAGAGAGATAGGGAAATAGGGAAGAGGAGGAATTGGAATAGGGAAGAGAATAGGGAAGAGATAGAGGTAGTAAATCAATAGTTGATACTAGAATTATGTGGACTTCAAGTGGATAGATGAATAATTTTGGCGGTACTAGAGATGTATACCGATACCGATATAGATACAGATAGATATTTGGTCTTAGATGATAAGAGTATAAGTACAATAGATAGAAAAATAGAATAGATAGAAAGAAACAAAATATAGGAATTCTATTTCAATATCGGATTAGAACAAGAATAAGAATATTTTCCTTGCAAGTTTTATCTCGTTTAGACTCATTTCATTTTATTTTCATCTTTCTCTATAATACTCGAGTATTATATTCACGTTTTCTTTCCTTTTTTTTAATGATGATGATGAGATGGGATGGGATATGATATGATATGATATGATATTCGTTCGGTAATACGAATGAGTATTGTGTTAAATCAACTTAATTTAATTTAACTTGATTTGACTTAATACTTGATGGTCTCGGTATCTTATGTTATACTCGTGTTATCTTATCTTCTTATTTTATCCGCCTATTTAGTACTAATTGCGTGACAGCATTATCCACAGGGTACTTTTCCTCACCCCCTTACCCCTTCTTCCCCTTCCCATTTCCCTCCTCCTTTCCCCCTCCCCTACATTTCCTCACCCCCCTTCTTCTACCTCTTCCTCACCCCCCTTCCCGTTTCCCTCCCCCCTTGCCCCTTTTCCCCTTCTCCCCTCTTATCCCCTAACCCATCAATCTACCCCCCCTAAAACAGGCACAACCTCATCCTCCGCATAAACAACAAACGCATTCACATACTCGAAGAAACTTGCTTTATAAAATCGTTCGCCCGTGGTAAAATTAACATACTGCATTCCGAATTTGACGTGGTAACCTTTTTGGGGGGATTAGGATTGGGTTAGCATTGGGTTTTGTTGGTTGGGCGATTTAGGGGTAGGGGGGTGAGTAAACAGGGGGGAAGTGAGGAAGTGAGGAAGTGGGTGGTTGTGTGTTTATGGAGAACATGGTTCACAGACAAGGCTGTATATCCAACCATTTGATTTGGGGATTCCGAGGATTCCGAGGAGGCGAATTCATGGAGGAGGTTAGGGTTCAAGTTCCAGCTACGCTACTAGCGCACAGAACAAACACCACACAACACTCAAGATATTCGAAACCCAAACTCAGAACCCTCAAAATATAAAAGGTGCAGGAAAGACAGAAAAAGAACAAAATGAAACTAAAAAAAAAACTCACCTTCCCTCCACTCCAAATTATCCATAATACTCCAAGCTAAACATCCAACCACATTTATCCCCTCGCTAATAGCTAGTAAGATCGCTTCCATATATTGTTTGTAATAAAGGGATCGACTGGTATCGGTGCGGATATCTGAGAGGAGAGTCTTTTGATATTCAAAGGGTTCTGCGAAACTGTTGTGAGGGAGAGTGTGGAAGTTAGTATTGGGGTTGTGTTTTGGGTCTTGATTATGACGAGAGGAGATGGGATGTAGATGACGAGGAATGGAAACGGAGATTGAATGGGATACTGTAAATAGAGGGTACAAGAAAAACAAAAGAAAAGAACTACGCACCCAAATTCCGAAACTACAATTCCCCCCCTACTAGGCCAAGTCTCCTGAATATATTTCAAAAACGCCGGAACCCAATCCACAGCACTATGCAACCAAGACGCCAACGGATCCGCCGCCGCTCCAATTAACCACCCGTTTTCCCCCACATTCGTCGTATTGTAACAACCTGGAAACAGTTCATGCGAAGAATTCGACGTACAGGCCTCGATTCCCGAATCGGGCGCCATGTAATAGGAAGATGTATATGCGTCGTGAGCGAAAAGATCAGCGGTGCCATTGATGCGGGATTTCTGAGACGCGGTAAAAGTGAGGGGGATAGTGTCGAGGTAAGTTTTGAGGTGGGGTGGGTAGTCTCCATTGATGTATACGGGGTTTGCGAACCAGCCTTCGTTGAAATCCCAAGCGCGTTGGACGGCTAGGGTATCAAGTGAGGAATTTGAGAAGGGGATTTTGTGGCCGCCGTTGTTTTTGAAACTGAGGGTTCCGGGGAGGGACAGGGATTGGAAGAGGTGGTAGGTTTCGGCGTGGGCGAGGAGCACGTGGTGGCCGCAGTAGTAGGGTTGCTGTTTGGGGGGGATGCTGGTGCGGGTGAAGTAGTGGGTGGGGTAGGGGTATGAGGTACAAAATACGATGGGTTCGTTCATGGTGAACCAGTGGGGGACTTTGTGGCCGTAGCGGGAAAATACTATTTTGGCGTAGGCGACGAAATCTTCGACGATGTTTGGGGATAGCCAGCCGCCGTAAGTATTTTGGAGGAAGAGAGGTAGATCCCACTAGAGGAAGGGAGGTATTAGGGGGTGGAGGTGAAATGAGATGAGATGAGATGAAGATGGTTGGACTTACGTGGTATAATGTCACGACGGGCTGAACACCATATTCAATGCAAGTATCGATTAGATCCTCATAATGCTGCAAAGCAAGCTCATTAACCGGACCCCTCCCAAAAGGTAAAATCCTAGACCAAGAAATCGAGAATGAATAATATGGAACACCAAGAGCTGCAATTCTAGCAATATCTATTTCCGTTAGTCTTCATCATCCTATTTTAGCCTGAACACCGAGAAAACGTAGAAAATACAAACCTTGTTTATATAAATAATACTGATTATCTCCCACATCCCCCGTATCATTAAACAACGTTATTTTTGCAGCAGCGTTATGTGTAAAAACATCCCACACACTAGGACCTCTACCTTCATCAGCAACAGCACCCTCAATTTGATATGCAGCCGAAGCCACACCCCACCAGAATCCGGAGGGAAATTTCCACGATTCATTCTTTGGGGCCAAAGGTACTTGAGCACCGGTTGGAAAGGAAGGGTAGTAGAGTGGTGGTGGGGGAATAAGTTCGGATGTTGGAATCGGGGTGGCGGAGACGGTGATATTGGTTGCGGCGGTTGCTACGGGTCCTACGAATAGATCCCATAATTCTGATGAGATATGAGTTATTTTTGAGGTTACTTGCTTGCATTGATGGTCAAAGATTGGGGGGGGATAAGAGAGGATTAGGCAAGAAAATCCCAACACTTAAAATGAAGTTGAAAGCTCACGTTGAACATTGAGAGTAATACTCGTGGTAAATGCTTCCGGGTTCTCCACTGTAGCTGTAGGTGTCGTCCCTGTTGAAGCCGTGGCTTGACATTGTCCGCTAGATTCGCAGTATTGATTGCTGGCGCAACATATCGTCCCGCAAACTGATTCCCCCAAACTTGGGTTACAGATTGCAGCAGATAAGACAGTCCCAAAAGACAATGACCATAAAATGAACTTCATGATTACAATTATAGCAGGAAAGAATCCTCAAATCATACTTCACTCAAAAACAGCAGTTTCCCCAACTTATATGTAGAATGAGAATTTCCCCTCATCCTACCTACGGGGTATTTATCTGCATATATACAGAACCTTGAGCTGGTAATTGAGAACAGGGTGTTGAGCTCACTTGAGCGACACGTCGAACCAGTAGGCGGTAGACAATCCAAAGACATTCATCATGAATTATGCACCTAGGTACTAATGATGAATTTGTAATGCAGGTGTTCATCCAAACGAGTTAAAATAAAGACCGGTAAAAATGCGGGGAAGAACCCGCAGGGGGTTCGGACAAGTTGTGACCGAGAAGATCAACATCAAGGATTTATTGATGTAAGGAATGAGACTTGATTTAGAGAATCCAACAAGTAGATGTATCCGAGTTTTTAATTGCATATAGTAGGGAAAGAAATCTTGAAAAGCAATAATCTATCTGGTAAGTTGAGATGTATAATGTTGGTGCTGAAAATTATACTCGATAAACCAAACTATTTTCAAGTATTGCGAAAAGTAGAACTACTTCAACCGATGCATAATCTAAAAACCTTTTGGGACGAACATGATTGTACTGTACTAGACTCGAGATTGATAACCATGCTCCTTCCTTTCCGCCCCCTGTTGCTCCATTCCTCCGCAGATCCTCGACCATATTCTTTGTATAATTTTCAACGGGATCCGATGGCTATGCCATTCCACAAATATCCCAGAACTGCTTCTACCTTATGCGAGTTGGCACGGTTTTCGAATATTGCCAAACCGCCATCCTGCCGAGAAAACTGATAGGCTCTGTGCAATATTGAACCTGCAGAGATATCGCGGAAACATTTCAGAGGGCTAGCAGCTGAAGTGTGTGTACGGGGCTGTAAGAGAAGAGGCCATTATAATGTCGGACTATCTTTAGTTGTGCTTCGTCTCGTAAGGTAGGGAGGGTATCGCGCCGTTTGCACTTGGGACTCGGATTTCGAAGTTGTCGTCTAAACCATGAATATAATTGTGCGAGTCCTTGAGCTGTACGGCAGCGGACCCTAAGACAGACGTTTGATCAGTAGTATAGCATGTGGACTTACGAGATGGCATATGGGTTGTTTTGCCATGTTCGAGGTTCGGTGATGAGGAAGATGCAACTTCTGACGTCTTAACTCCGTCTAGGTCCGACCTCACATGACAAATCACCCGCTTAATAATATCATTTTCATTTGCTACAACCCCTTCATCAACATACCTACATACTCGAGTACATACATTCAGCACTCAATCATGGAAACTAAACCACAGAAACGAAGACGTATAGTAAAGACATGCTGGGAATGTTATAGAAGAAAACAAAAGGTGAGATATACATCATCAATGAGAATATCTCTGACTGTTCAAGTAGTGTAATCGTGGTCAACCATGTGATGTTTGTATTTCTAGAAATGTACCGGAGAAGTGCTCCTATTCTAGTTCAACACCGTATGTGATACTCGAGGAAAATGGATGTGAAGATTTTCTTACTGTAGAAACAGATTGGATGACCTGAAAGATTCTCGGCACGTTGGAGGACCATTGACCGCACGTACACGAGATGAGGAAATCATTCTGAAGTCAGGTTCAACACCATCCGATCTTTTCGGTCAAGTAGGATATGGTCCTTATAACAATTCATTTAGCGGATTACAAAAGGTACTTGCCCTCTTCCTCGTCTATCATTCAATGCTGACAGATGTAGTCATTTCATATCAATGATGAATTATCTACATTCGTGGGATCATCTTCATCATCTTCATTGTCTCATCCTGGTTTACGGCATAAATTTCTAAGTTTAGTTATACAACTACCGTCTCAATCTATCATTTCCGAACTCATCGAATCATTTCTCCTAGAAGTACATTGGTATTTCAAAATATTGGAAGAACAATATTTTATAACCCTTCTCAAATCATGGCAAGATATACGTAATACTTTATCAGGACAATCAGATCTAGGAAGTATTTCTAGAGATCTTCAATATTTTCCCGCATTACTATTCCAAGTTCTTGCCGTTTCTTTACAATTCTTACCACCGAACACGGAAGCCTCCAAGGTACTTCATTTAGATACTTTGCTAGATTGTGATAGACTTTCTCATGAATATAGCAAGATTGGTATGGAAATCATGTCTCTGTTAGGGAGACATAGTTCTACTTTGACAGCTGTTGAACATGATATGATGAAATCTGCTTGGTTGAAGAATTACAGTAGAGGTAGCGAAGCATGGCACTTGTTAGGTAGTGCAATCAGGTTTGTAGTTATTCACCCCGTTTATTCATCATACTGACCAAATTTCAGACAAGGTCAAGAGATGGGCCTTCATTTACAAGCTTCAATTCCGAAAGTTACAGGAGAGGATATTGGGGTTGAATTAGAAAAGTTTTGGTATGATGAATACAAAAGGCGAATGTGGGTAAAGCTATTCACATGGGATAGGTGGGTGTCTTATATCCTCGGTCTGATCTTCTCTAATTCTTTCCAGTCACATGTCAGTAATGCTCGGAAGGCCTCGTTCAATTAATGCAAGTGATTGTACAGTTAAGACACCAATCGATTGCACATTTCCTGACGATCCATCAAAAACTATACCCACAGTCGCACTCTTACAAGATCCCCAATCCCCACCGTCCACCTACTCGACGCAACTATTTCAATACTCCCTAGCTCAAAAGATTCACGAATTGTTGGCAGCTGGAGCCCATAGACCTCACATGAAGGACTACTCATTCGTCACAAACCTCTATAACGAAGTTGTCTCCATGGTTGATGCGCTACCACCTACTTTACGACTTGAAAATACAGATAAATCATGGGACAATGAAGAACCTAGCCTTCCTCGTCAACGGTATGCAACAGCCAGTGCTGCACATTTATTTCTCATGGTTCTCCATAGACCTCACGCACCAGTCCACACCGAAAGTCGAACTGCGTCCATAAAAGCTGCGCTCGCCTGTCTGCATGCCCAGGAACAATTGTTTAAATTAATAAAACCACATCAATATCGGATCTACACGCTTTCATTTACCTCTATTGACTGTGGAATATTTTTATCTGGAATTATATTTGGATCACCAAATTTGGAGAATGGTCTGAAGGGAAGAATACATGTTGCGATTGAGAAAGCGATTGGACGATTGATTATGATGCAGGAAAGCTGCCCTATGGCAAAATCAGGTCTACGAATACTTACTATTTGTCACGAGAGGATTTTGAAACGTGATAAGAATGATGGTGTGGTGACCAACAAGTCAGGGGTACTGGACCAGATGGAAGGTCAAAAGGTCGAAGAGGGGCGAGACAATGCAATTACTAAAGAAGATGGCGCCTCCCCACAAAATCCATATAGTTTCGAAGCCCAGCAATCCGAGTCAACGATTCCACCACAACAGTTCAATGCTACAACTATCCCCGGCATTGACTTCAATAATTTCGAAATGGACACATCATTTTGGGAAGAAATGAAACAAATGATTGATTTTGATGTGGGTGTAAGTATGGAGGAAGATTTATGGAACCCCAATTATTCATTTCCGGACTTGTATATACCTTCTGATAATGGAACGGGTCCGGAAATGTCGTATGGAGGTGGTGCTAGATAATTTCGTCATGAATAAAAGGGGCTTCGTCTAAATTCTAAACCTGAATGATCATTACATCAAAGGCCGCCTGTGTTATGTTTTTCATTCGACTTCTTTCTCTTTTCTGGATTGGAAGATCCATTATTGATTAATAACATGTACTGCACTGCGCTGCGCCGTCTAGAATGTGATTTTCCTCCAGAAGGCGACGAGCATAAAATAGCCACATCACAATATTCTTCACTCTCCCCAATGACTAATTACACTACACTTCCTCATCACACTACATTGATAGTGGCGGCTCTAACATATACCAGTTTTCACATTCAACAGAACGATTCTCTGGGTCTATAATGAATGAGAATCTCACATCGTTACATGCGAAAGTAGCAAGTGACACCTTTGATCCGTATTTCAACGAGGATCACAACGACTACTCCAATCGGCAAGAGATTAAGATGGGCACTCCCGATACATTCATGAAGTGTCCTACTGTCTCAATTATGGAAAAGATCACTATCAATTTGTGGTCGCCTCAATGGATTGTACATGAAACTAGTACAGAATGCGCCTGCGATTTACAGAAAACGCCATCAGCAGCTGAAACATAGGCTTTGCAAAAGCGATTGAAGGAATGTACCCCCCCTTGTGCAAAAAATGATCGTTTGGCTAAATGGAGATGTATTTCTTCATCCGAAGCTGATCTCTCCGATCTTCACAAATGGAAAGGGTCATGCGATTGCTGTGTCTTTAGTAAAAAGTCAAAGGAATGCTCTTCACACATCTCGGTAGCAGTTAATCAGACTAATTAGACAGACGGGTAAATATATGTAGTTTACCAAGTCAATGCAAGCAAACATTCTATGGTGTATATATCATACGTGAATGGGGATTGAGATGTTAATTGTATCGTCGTTTACAGACAGAACCAACTGAACGCCCTGGCTGCTAAACATTACTAGAGAGAATAATTCTATCCAGACATCGCGTAAATGGGCTTAGACCGTCCAGTTATTTCACCTATAAAGAACTTTCTCTATTGTTTGTGAATCAGAACTTGGTGAAAAATAAGTGCCAACTATTCCCATCCGTTGTGGCTTGAATGAGGCTCAAAAAATTAATGTGGTTTAAACCTACTGTTATTACATAATCAACTGGTACCACTTCAGCAGAATAATCCATAATTATCCCCGAAACCAAATCTGACTGATCAGCATGCTATCCCCAGAGATGGCTACCGCCCCAATCGTTCATTTAATGGTTGTGGAACTGAGCGTAGAGGAAAATGATGCTGTCACAGAGTGCATGCGATCGCTGAACATAGCACCTCTGAAGGAAAACTCCGATACAGTAGTTAGTTGACTTGAGCGAGCTCGATGATGTTGGGCGAAATTTCAGCGGCAAGTTCACAGTACTATCTATCAAAGGTACTCATTTAATCCGCTTTTATAACTTCTATGTATATGAACTAAATTACAACTGAAATACAGCTCGACGGCAAAGACAAGAAATTCATAGCTCTTCGATATAGCAAACCTACAACTTTACCGGTTCCAACTACAGTCCTTTTGATCCCTACTGCCATTACATCCAACAATCCCACCATCGAGAAACAAGCGCTCACTCTTGGCACATGCATCTATTTAACCAAGAATGCATCTATTTAACCAAGAATGCATCTATAGAGCCAGGCTTTGATTGTATTGCAATCTCCGCACAATAGCCTTCGGGTCAGGTTGATAAAATGGTTTACTCACTCATAGGATCCAATTCAGGTGGCGGAGCAGGCACATGTGGATATGCTGAGCTTGAGATGTCAAGCGACGTCCATCGTCCATAGATAACCGTGTGGGGTGTTTTCATCACAGGACATCCATGGATCGCCGTTCGGTATATCGAATGATGTGGTGAATGGTTCATTTTGGTTATGTTCATTATGAAGCGGTACAGCGTATGTCCATATATCGACGTTTGATGTATTGAATGGTGTGGTGGATGATTTGTTTTGGTTCTGTTCATCATCAAGCGGTGTAGTGTATCTCCATAGATCGTTGCCTTGCGCATCAAAGGGCATAGCAGGATTATATGAACTGTTTGAGGATTTTCGAGCTGTCGATACTCCTATTTAATCGCATATCAGTATTGTATAGGTAGCTACGGCATACCTTTCAACAAGAATGAAGGCTTACTTGTGCCACATTCATTCACTGATTCTATGTACGCATCTCTTTCCGGGACGAGTATAGGGACTGTGGAATCCATAATGGGTTGTGCTGTGTCTTGGTGATCTTCCATCCAAGAAACGTTCAGGGTTTTCGTTGATTGAATCGGGACATTAATCGTATTAGATGTCGGACGAGCACTGCTAGATTGCGACGGTACAGATTCCTCCCACGTTCGGGGGCATTTACAATCCGCTTCGGCGCTTGAATAACATTTATTAGCCTTTATTAGGGGGGGAGAGAGGTGGAGAATTGTAGTTTTTCCATACCTTCTGCAATTCCCACAGGCCAGCGTTACACCTGGATGCACGATTTCATCCCCTTTCTTTCTGGGTACGGGATCCGGATGTGACTTGCTGCTCTTATTCATTCTCCGCCGTTTGGGTTGAGACTCTTCGCTCCCATCCATTCGATGCACAAAGGTGGTCCTATCAGCATTCTCTGTTTCCCCCAAGCCATCATTTTTCCGTGTCTCGAGATCAACGTGTTTTCGAACCTCCTGGAGTAATGGGGTATCCAACTCAGAAAGTTGGGGAAGGGTCCAACCACAAGCACAAAGCCCGGAAATGATTGCATTGGCTGCAATTCGATCCAATGATTTAGCATACTGATAGCATACGGGAAGTTGTTCTTTTATATATTCAACTATCATCTCAATATCACATACACGAAGTTTACACTCCCATCTGTACCAAAGTTGTGAGTTCTTAGAACTTTTTGAAATATATGAATATTGACTTACATGCGACACAAGCCGTCTCCTATTCGAAGAAAAGCGCCTAGACCTGCTTGAAGAAGAAATCGTGTATAATTCCTGCCTCTCCTGCGATAATTGTCAATTTGCGTCAGGCAAATATTGTGTCCTGTAGCAATTGTACTTAATGAGCCTAGCCTCGCTCCCGATGGACAGAGGACTTCAGTTTCATGGTAAAACAACACAAGAGCGAGGCGCGAAGCGCTATTTTGAATACTTATTTCCGTATTCCGTAGTCTCATAAGGACTTGTTGTACTCGAGAGAGCCTTGACAATTGGGATGAGGGATCATCAAAAATGCTCATATCTGCCGGCCACAGTGTGTGATACAAGCCGGGGCCAAAACTCGAAGCTACTTGAAAACCTGCACAGACTCGAGTCGACCACTGTATGCTATTGTCTGAAGGATTTAGAACGCGCTTTCGAAAATACGCTTCAATCGTTTTGTACGACTTATTTTCCATATGTTGAAGACTTCTTTGGGGTAAGTCATTGGATTCCGAGTCTTTGTGTTTAGTGAAGGGAATGGTTCGATTCGATAAATCATCTTGTGAATATGGAAGAGTTGCTCTGTATAAATCGTTAGTTGGCAAATGTCTTACTTCTTAACAAAGCATTGGCAAAGGATAAGAGAATTGACCTAGATATGAATAGTGATGGATCGTTGTGCGAGTTTACGTCGCCGTATGCTTTGAGAATGGTAGCCTTGTGAGCATCTGGAATGAATTGCCAACAAGCCTCCGCTGTACATCTGGCTAAAAAATCTTTGAGGTAAAGCTTCCATCTGATTAGATTGAAGTAAACTCGATGTTGTGAACATACGCACCTCAAAACTTGCAATTTCGGTCGGCGATGCTGCTTTCAGCGTATCAACAAGATTGGGGCAATGTGATTTAGGTAAACATACATACAATATGATACCGTAATGATCACTTATAAGGATATATAAATCAAGATATAATATATCCTGTATTTGCCCTATAAAAGAAATGATATTTATAGAATATCCTTAGTCTGATTAATTTAATCGATTTGGTCAATTTGGTTAATTTGGTCAATTTGATCAATTTCTTGACTACCATAATTATTATCGAACTCTTCAATATCCAACTCAGGATTCATCTTGTTATCAATTTCATTAATAATAGCAAAAGTATAAGATATATATTGAAAAGTAGATTATCTAAAACCAAAGGAAGGAATAGGAATAGAACCACTTGAATAATATCATAAAGTAAAAACAGATGCGGCAGAGGGCAAACAATAAGGTATACCAAAAGATACCACAGATCTATTGTATACTTCAGGAATACTGCTATAAAGTATTGCAATACTGGAAATAGAAGGTAATTGGATAGGGCGAATATCCTGAAAAAAGTAGTGAAAACGAAAAGCATAGATTATAGCAAGTTGTTAATAAACGATATCAAGATTGCTTAGGACTTCAGTATATTCACCAACTATAATAGAATATACAAACTTATGGTCAAAAACATTTGTTAAACAATATATGTTTATTGAATAAATGTTATAAGATATTATTATCAAAGATCTTATCTAAATACAAAATC